GTATGGGTTCTCTACATTCTCACACCTTAATAATGATAATGATCGTGGCAAAAGTTGGTGTCTATATATTCATTTTAGTGTAATAGTAACTTCTCCAATTGGATACAACTGAAATCTACCTCCACTACACAGCTGAAGAAATCTACCTCCACTACACAGCTGAAGACATCTACCTCCACTACACAGCTGAAGACAACTACCTCCACTACACAGCTGAAGACATCTACCTCCACTACACAGCTGAAGACAACTACCTCCACTACACAGCTGAAGACAACTACCTCCACTACACAGCTGAAGACAACTACCTCCACTACACAGCTGAAGACAACTACCTCCACTACACAGCTGAAGACAACGGGACTCCACAAGAGACAGTTTGGGGATGATGCCTCTGCTATCTTCAAGTATTCAGGGCCCCAAACTGGCACCAATTACCATGGGATCAAATGGTGTGCTTGTTGTGAAATGTAATGGTTTTTCAATCAATCATTCTGTGAGTACCACCACTCACCGAGTTGACTGCAAAGCATAACTCCAAAATATAATGGGGTCAGAATCTGATAGTCGAGTGTGAACATCCATTATCTCTCAGGTGCTGGATAATAAAATACTATTAGAGTGACTGACAGCTATGCTCACTGTAAAATAAAACATAGATTTTTAGGGGGCATAAATGAGTGTGTGTGCTGGGCATCCTTTCTGCTGAAGATATAATGGGATCATGGAATCATAACTGGAACTCAGCCCGTCTGACACCAATGTATAGCATGCTCTACCAACTGAGTCACACGGGACTATAATGGGATAATGGAATCATAACTGGAACTCAGCCCGTCTGACACCAATGTGTAGCATGCTCTACCAACTGAGTCACACGGGACTATAATGGGATCATGGAATCATAACTGGAACTCAGCCCGTCTGACACCAATGTGTAGCATGCTCTACCAACTGAGTCACACGGGACTATAATGGGATAATGGAATCATAACTGGAACTCAGCCCGTCTGACACCAATGTGTAGCATGCTCTACCAACTGAGTCACACGGGACTATAATGGGATCATGGAATCATAACTGGAACTCAGCCCGTCTGACACCGATATGTAGCATGCTCTGCATTTGGTCTGCTTTGGCACATTCCACCGGCCTATTTGAACAAAATCTGTCTGCCACATTCAAAGAGAAAAGCACGTTCATGAGAAACAGAGCAGTAATTTTAGCCTGTCAGAAGCACTGAATCAAAATGTGTTTTAGCTGACGTCCATCAAAAACACATCATTGAAATCCTCCTCTTTTTGTGAACTTCACAGGTCCATTTAGTAGACCAATACGGTCAATGCAGAGGGTCGTTGACATACCCCATAGCCATTTTAGAAAATAACATCAAACCCCAACTGAAGTGTTTTTGAGTACCTTGACAGCCACACATACAGTAGCATATTCATAAGACTCCTGCTTTGCGTACTAGTGTGTATATATCATGTTCTGGGTTTGTGGGAGGACTCAAATATGTTGCGTATATGAAGACTGCGTTGCTTGCTTGGCGGACTGGCAGTAAAACTGAGCCGTGACTTGTTGGGCGTTCAAAGACCCTGAGATGTAGAGGGAGGCCACTGCTACCTCTCTGGGAGTCGGTGTGGTTTCCATGTTGTTTTTGAAGCACAGGAACGCAGTGCTCCGGTGTACAGTTTAGCTCTTCCTGTAGTTTGTGGGATATGTGGAGGACCCACTCACTCTGGCTCTCACAGAGCCCGGGTCTATACTACCTGGTACTGTTAAAATGTCAATGCTGGAACTGGGGGCCAGTAAATTAGGGCGTTTTCTCTCACAGTGTGTTGTGAGTGGAAGCGAGGGTGGGAATGAGTTCTTTAATAAGTCTCTGTTGGCCTGGAGCTGCGGGCATGTGCTGTAGGGGGCCTCTGGTCAGACTCTGGTCAGACTGACTCTGCTATGCTCTGGGGGTGACTGCAGTTCTTTATCTCCAACCCCCCTGTTGCTCTGCTGGGTCAGAGATTACGTCTGAGCTGGACTATGAGTGCACATCTACAACTTTTGACCTTTTGGGGGGAGGGTTTGGTGTGTGTGTGAGAGTTTGTGTGTGTGTGTTTGTGTCTTGTGTCTGTGAGTGTGTGTGAGTGAGTGAGTGAGTGAGTTTCATAGGGATTGACAGGGCTTGCTTTAGTTGCTCTAGCCAGGGGCCTGCATTTTGAAGCCCTTTTGAGGTCCTGAAATATTATCTTGACATTAGGGACATCAGAGTTGATCAGAAACAGACTAGACTAGATCCAGAGATTCACTCTGTGGTTAGAGAAGTGGTCCCACCCTGATCCTGGATATAGAGATGTAGGGGGTACATAACACAACAGCCAGAGGGAAGGAGAGAGATGGGTTTGACAGGAAGAAAAAGTGTTAGTATAAAAACACACACATCTGCCATCCACTACCTTCCATCTCCACACACAATGAAGCTCTCTGTGAAGAAGACATATGTTAATAGAAACCAGTGTGTCTGTCACTGGTATTAAAAAGATTAAAGGGCAGCATAAAAGACCGAAGATAGTTTTTTTTTAAAGTGTCAGATGACTCAAAAGGACACCTCATGGTTGCCCTTCATGGCTGTTACCCACAGCTTAGTGAGTGGGATGAGAGAGGGAGGAGAGCAACAGGTGAGGTCTGTCTACTCTGACATTGGGATGATGAACACAAAGATAGATGTGGTTGAGGTTAGCTCACCCAGGGTTGGTGTGATGTTTTCAAGAGCAACATATTTGGATGTTCACCCGCCATTCTGGAATGATTCATCCTGCAATGGTAGCTACATCACACAACACTAAACACAGATATAGGAACTTATCACAGATATTGTATTACGCTGAAGGTGGAGGTGGGACACAAAGCCATCTCTGTATTTCATTTTAGAGCTGTACTTCCATCATTGAGTGAAAAAATGTGGTGTTTAAGTATAACATATCTTCAACCTTTTAAAGGTGTCACACTGGGTAATATTCCTTTAACATCCCATATGTAGGTCCGGATCTGAAGCTGTGACTAGTCTGATAAATGGGTATTGGATTATGAATTTGAGTGATGCGAGATGGATGTCTGATACATTATCAATACGCTATGCTAACTAGAGTGCAAAGTCATGGGCAAGGAACTGCCTGGATTCTGAAATTGACCTGCATTGGCATTAGTTCTACTCTCTCTCTCTCTCTCTCTCTCTCTCTCTCTCTCTCTGGCCTTACTGAAAAGCTTGGTGACTTTCAACGTGGCACCGTCATAGGATGCCACCTTTCCAACAAGTCATTTCGTCAAATTTCTGCCCTGCTAGAGCTGCCCTGGTCAACTGTAAGTGCTGTTATTATGAAGTGGAAACGTCTAGAAGCAACAACGGCTCAGCCACGAAGTGTTAGCCACACAAGCTCACAGAACGGGACCGCCGAGTGCTGAAGCGAGTAGCACCTCGGTTGCAACACTCACTACCGAGATCCAAACTGCCTCTGGAAGCAACGTCAGCACAATAACTGTTTGCCGGGAGCTTCATGAAATGGGTTTCCATGGCCGAGCAGCTGCACACAAGTCTAAGATCACCATGCGCAATGCCAAGCGTTGGCTGGAGTGGTGTAAAGCCATTGGACTCTGGTGCAGTGGAAATGAGTTCTCTGGAGTGATGAATACTCTTCACCATCTGGCAGTCCGACGGACGAATCTGGGTTTAGTGGATGCCAGGAGAACGCTACCTGCCCCAATGCATAGTGCCAACTGTAAAGTTTGGTGGAGGAGGAATAATGGTCTTGGGCTGTTTTTCATGGTTCGGGCTAGGCCCCTTAGTTCCAGTGAAGGGAAATCTTAATGCTACAGTATACAATTACATTCTAGACGATTCTGTGTTTCCAACTTTGTGCCAACAGTTTGGAGAAGGCCCTTTCCTGTTTCAGCATGACAATGCCCCTGTGCACAAAGCGAGGTCCATACAGAAATGGTTTGTTGAGATTGGTGTGGAAGAACTTGACTGGCCTGCACAGAGCCCTGACCTCAACCCCATCGAACACCTTTGGGATGAATTGGAACGCCGACTGCGAGCCAGGCCTAATCGCCCAACATCAGTGCCCAACCTCACTAATGCTCTTGTGGCTGAATGGAAGCAAGTCCCCGCAGCAATGTTTCAACATCTAGTGGAAAGCCTTCCCAGAAGAGTGGAGGCTGTTGTAGCAGCAAAGGGGGGACCAACTCCATATTAATGCCCATGATTTTGGAATGAGATGTTCGACAAGCAGGTGTCCACATACATTTGTTCATGTAGTGTATGTCAGTACAGGCCTGGGTTAGATATTACTGACTGTAGTCAAAATGAGAATCATATGCACTCTCACATAAAGGCCCTCGCCTGAAGAAAGGTAATTTTGTTGTCATGGCTCAAGCCCTGATACTGACCACTACCCTAAGGGTCACCTAGTCAGTGACCATATCATTGTCATTGCAGTGACCATATCATTGTCATCACACTCTTCTTGTGTCTTGTGTCCTGTGAGTTCTTCTTGCCATATCACGATAAAAAGCCACTATTATTGATTAGCAGTTGCCTCCTCTAGTGGTAAAACAGAGATAGTACAATCTTTGGACGTTGTACATTGGGCAAATGTTGTGCTTAGATTAATAAAAAAAAGCTTACACACAGAAGAGTTGAACTGGTCTTTAAGTTATTTCTAATACTATGAATAATGAATGAAAGCAGTCCAACCATGAAAAGTAATGTTTCTAAGACAGTGTTCTGTGTTCAGTTCCAAGAAGACCACGTGAACTGCAGTTTGTGGCTTTTAGTTGTAAATGTGACTGTCCTAAAGCAGATGAAGTATCATGATTGAGTGAGTGATTGATTTATAACAATGTAATAACAATGTTGTTTACTGTGGTCAGCGTAATTCCAGTAACTGCTATTATATATAATACCACTAGAGGGTAGTGTACATCAAGGTTTATTTTACATCGCCCCTCATAACAACTTCCGCGTCAACTACATTTTCACTGTTGTTGTGACTTTAGCTAGCTATGCTTTTCAAGACATGCTTCAGAAGACCGACGTGACACTGGAAATGTAGCTACATTTTGCCTTGATATTACATTCGATTGGATTCAAAAGGACTTGGATCACGAAATACATCTGGAAACGCGGAAGATAAAGGTAAGGCAAGTAGTGGCACTGATCTGGCTGTCATCATAAACTTTCGATTTCGCCTTGCTAGCCAGTCATAAATTAGCTAGAGCATAATTAGAAATAGACTTGCCAGCCAGCTCAATGTGCCACTTCAATTTCAGAACATGTACTACAGCTACAGCTAAAGTTTACGGCTATCTGGTGTCACGTGTCATTTTGAGATAACGGTAGCAAACTTCAATGTACTTACATTTACCATTTAATTTTTTTTGCCATTTAGCATTCGCTGTTATTCAGACAGAACGACTTATATTAGAAAAGTTACCCTGGCAAGCGCTCTTACCATTTGAGCTAATTCCCCTTGGAGACATTTATGTTCACAGTAGACAGAGTAGCTAGACGGTACACCCAGATACATAAGAAAATACAGTAGACCTACCTACTGCACATCAGCAAACAATCCCATCCCTGAGTTTACCTACTGTCATTCTTTATCTCTATTCCCCAGTTTGTGAATGATGAGTACCCAGTCTGTCCCTTTCGAGGAGGTGCGGAGGAGAGCTGAGTCCCTCCTGTCCTATTCAGGCTCTGCCCAGGCATTGAAGGCTGATGTCCAGGTCATGGCCAATGTCCCCCTGTCCCTGTCTGACAAGTTTCACCACATCACAGCACAGACCATGGTGACACAGAACATATCAGGGCACAGCAGGGAAGAGGTGAGGTTTTACATTCTCTCCTATCCAGGTGCCCCCCAAATGTATTTTTGTCTTTACTGTAGCCCTTGCACCCTCAGCTTTTCCTGTTAACCCCTCTGGCCTCCTGAACACCTCTCCCCCACCTCCCCTCTCCTCCCTCCGTCAGGTCCTAGAGTCTTTGGGCCGGCTGTTTAAAGCCTTGAGCATCCTAGAGAAGTATGGCTGTAACCTGACCAGCCCCAGCAGGCCCAGGTACTGGCGCAGTGTCAAGCACAACAACCCAGTCTTCAGGGCTACCGTGGACGCCATCAAGGTAAAGGAGGGAGACAGGCCTCTCTAAACACGATCAGGGACTTCCAGCCCCATTCTTATTATTACAGTATAATGATTGACTTCCTAGTGCATAGTACAGATTACCGAGTCTGAAAGTCATCTCATCTATTGATTTCACTACAAATAGTCAGATGGTTCAAAAAGGGAGTGGATCAATGATCAATGTTTAAAGTGTCTCACGGGTCATAGACATAGACCTAGGGCACTGGGTACCCAGTGATATTTAAAGCATTTCAGTTTACTTTTTCACTAATTTGAGTCAACGGTGGTTTATTCTACTGTCTGCTATCTTTTCTACAGGGTGGCAGGTCAGTCCTGTTTCTCTACGGTTACACCAATCAGCAGCCAGACGGCCTCAGCTTCCCTGAAGATGTCACAGATCCAGATGTTGGGAAGGTTGCTGCGGTGACCATTGAGGTCATGACCCTGCGCATGGAACTGGACATGCTTATCAAGGTGAACATTCATATGAGAGTCTAAGAGTGTTATTATCTAATAAAAATGTTTGAATTGTTCTCATTCTCAATTTGAGGATAACCACAAAGATGAGTTTCCATGTTTGATCTCTTGCTAACTCTTATGTGGCACTGTGTTGTTTGTTGTCCTTCAGGGTACACATGCTCACCCAGAAATCTACAGCAATATAATCCCATCCCTTAGTCTACAGAAGACAACCCAGGTCTGTGTAGCGTACAGTCGGGTGGTTAATCGGTTTGTCTGTTTCTACCTCAACCTTTTTCTGTGATTAGTGTTGTCATTAGGGCTATTCTGCTCTCCTCAGGATGAACCAGAGCTGATGTCTGATGCGGTGGTCATCCCACCAGGAGAGGAGCATGGGGACAGGGGGAACGACCTTCAAACACTATCTCCTCCACCCAAACCTGCTGCTAGTCCTGGACTAATACAAGCCCCCACAGGTGAGACAGACAGCCACTCCCTGTACGAGTCTCCCTGTCTGTCACCTGGCAACCTGTCCACTTCCAACCCCACTGGCATATGTCATCTGCCTGTCTATAGTACTGTCATTGGATGACAAAATTATTGCATATTGCTTATTGCTCCTCTCTCCCTCTCTCTCTCTCTCTCTCTCTCTCTCTCTCTCTCTCTCTTTCTCTCTCAGACGGGGGGTGTAATCTGTGCGGTGCCACGCCCTCTCTCCTCTGCCCACCCTGTGGTTCTCTTCCTTTCTGTCAGTCATGTGACCTCATCTACCACCGCCACCCGTCCAGAGCCAATCACAGGAGAGATAAAATACAGGGTAAGATATGGGTCATAGCTTTGACCATTTCAGCTCAAATCTCACTTTTAATCCAATATTTATTTGAATATTCTTACCCTGAATATGTAACCTAACACTGAATATGTAACCTAACACTTATCACATTTTTAAACCCCCCGTAGAGACCTGTACCATCTGTGGTATGTCCCAAGTCTCCACCCATTGCTCCACCTGTTCTCAGAGGCTGTGTCTGGAATGTGACAGACTGTACCATTCTCACCCTGACCGCAGGGGTCACAACAGGACACTGGTTACCCCCGCCAAACCAACAAGAGCTTTTAGGTTAGAAATGAGGATGTGTTATAATCGACTCTACACACACATACACACGTTCACACTCACACACACACAAACCTGATCACTCACTTCTTCCGCCATATGTCCACCAGATACACAATGCGTTAGGGTTAGGGTTAGGGTTGTTTTTGCCAGATGTCTAGCCCACATTTTCCAAACTTGATGCACATCTGCTTAGTAAGGCTGCAGTACGGTTTGTGGCATGGAGAAGATCATCTTCGCCCTGTTTGACCAAAACTAATCATTAAAACAGATGAAAGTTATTCTCATATCGACCTGCTGGTTTCATAGGCTGCACACAAGGTCACATTACAACAATTCATCTAGTTTCTTTCTATTCTTCCGTCACATTCATCTCAAGCAACATCAATAAATTGAACTGGTTGTTCCCATATAGAGTAGGCTACTGATTTCTAATCACTAGTTTGCCCGGCATGATGGCGTGCTAAATTACACAAAGAACAGTTCTGTGCATATTCATTTTGCACTCCATTCTGTTGGCTGGTTTCGTGAAAACGCACAAACTTTTATGTACTTCCGTTTGTACCACCGCACGGTTATGCAACACACAAGTTGAAACTATTGAACTCATGTGGTACACAGAACGCACTGCAGCCTAGTGCAGCATCCCCAACGTAGCGCTGCGGACTGCTCCATTGACAATTAATGACTTCCACCGGAACGCAAAGAGTTTGACGCGTCTGCTGGACATGAAGGTTGCTGGACATGAAGCTTTCTGGACATGAAGCTTTCTGGACATGAAGCTTTCTGGACACGAAGCTTTCTGGACATGAAGCTTTCTGAACTTGAAGCTTTCTGGACATGAAGCTTTCTGGACATGAAGCTTTCTGGACATGAAGCTTTCTGAACTTGAAGCTTTCTGGACATGAAGCTTTCTGGACATGAAGCTTTCTGGACATGAAGCTTTCGGACATGAAGCTTTCTGGACATGAAGCTTTCGGACATGAAGCTTTCTGGACATGAAGCTTTCTGGACATGAAGCTTTCTGAACTTGAAGCTTTCTGGACATGAAGCTTTCTGGACATGAAGCTTTCGGACATGAAGCTTTCTGGACATGAAGCTTTCTGGACATGAAGCTTTCTGGACATGAAGCTTTCTGGACATGAAGCTTTCGGACATGAAGCTTTCTGGACATGAAGCTCTGGACATGAAGCTTTCTGGACATGAAGCTTTCTGGACATGAAGCTTTCTGGACATGAAGCTTTCTGGACATGAAGCTTTCGGACATGAAGCTTTCTGGACATGAAGCTTTCTGGACATGAAGCTTTCTGGACATGAAGCTTTCTGGACATGAAGCTTTCCTCTCACTCGTGTTTCTTCTCTTTTCTAGCCATTCTCTTTCCTCGTGGGAGTGTGCTCAGTGCACTACTGTAAACGAGGTGAAAGCCGTGCTGTGTGTGACCTGTGAACGACCCCGCCTGGCCGTCGCATCCCTTATAGTTCAGGAAGACCCAGGGCAGCCATCACCCAACACAGGTCACATTCATATACATGGGTCAACTGTTGAGTAGTTTTCATGTGACGTTCATTTAAACAACATATTAGTCACCTATCCTGTCCTGTTTGAGGTGTTCATGCCATCTGTGCCTCTATAGCAGTGATAATACATGAGTAATGTAATTATACATTACTAGAAACTGAGATCAATACCAGGCTGTCTGTTTATCTACCCTCTCTGACCTCTTTCGTAGAGTGGCAGTGTAAGAGCTGTACGGTTGTGAACCAGGGCAGCAGTATACTCTGTGAGGTGTGTGAGCGCCCCCGTCTGGCCACCCGTCCCTCTATCACGCCAGTACTCTCCAGTAATCCAGTATGTTCCACGCCAGGACACACAGCAGACAATGAAACAGAGGTTAGTGTAAATACTGTAAAAACGATTGGTCGCTAAATCCAGCTAGAAGGACCACGTAAAAACGGTTGGCTGTTATGCCCTCACCCGTCTGAGCGGTCGGCTGTGAATGCCCTCACCCGCTATATACTTATAACTGATTGGTTTGATTCAGTCCTCTATAGTGCTGTCCGTTTAGAACATGATGTTGAGGCCCATCACTGTACGCTTGATAGTCACCACCACATACACACAGACACAGCTGTTTCCATTTGAATACAGTGTATGTTTATATGATTTTGGTAATCCGAATGACTTGGAATCTTATTGTTGTGGTTCTATAAGACAAAGATATGCACACAATTAAAGGTTATAACTATGCAATATACATACAGTACCAGTCAAAAGTTTGGACACACCTACTCATTCAAGGGTTTTTCTTTATTTTTACTATTTTCTACATTGTAGAATAATAGTGAAGACATTAAAACTATGAAATAACACATATGGAATCATGTACAGTGAGGGAAAAAAGTATTTGATCCCCTGCTGATTTTGTACGTTTGCCCACTGACAAAGAAATGATCAGTCTATAATTTTAATGGCAGGTTTATTTGAACAGTGAGAGACAGAATTGACCCCCTCTCAATCAGAAAGATTTCTGGCTACCAGGTGTCTTTTATACAGGTAACGAGCTGAGAATAGGAGCACACTCTTAAAGGGCGTGCTCCTAATCTCAGCTTGTTACCTGTATAAAAGACACCTGTCCACAGAAGCAATCAATCAATCAGATTCCAAACTCTCCACCATGGCCAAGACCAAAGAGTTCTCCAAGGATGTCAGGGACAAGATTGTAGACCTACACAAGGCTGGAATGGGCTACAAGACCATCGCCAAGCAGCTTGGTGAGAAGGTGACAACAGTTGGTGCGATTATTCGCAAATGGAAGAAACACAAAATAACTGTCAATCTCCATCGGCCTGGGGCTCCATGCAACATCTCACCTCGTGAAGTTGCAATGATCATGAGAACGGTGAGGAATCAGCCCAGAACTACACGGGAGGATCTTGTCAATGATCTCAAGGCAGCTGGGACCATAGTCACCAAGAAAACAATTGGTAACACACTACGCCGTGAAGGACTGAAATCCTGCAGCGCCTGCAAGGTCCCCCTGCTCAAGAAAGCACACATACAGGGCCGTCTGCAGTTTGCCAATGAACATCTGAATGATTCAGTGGAGAACTGGGTGAAAGTGTTGTGGTCAGATGAGACCAAAATCGAGCTCTTTGGCATCAACTCAACTCGCCGTGTTTGGAGGAGGAGGAATGCTGCCTATGACCCCAAGAACACCATCTCCACCGTCAAACATGGAGGTGGAAACATTATGCTTTGGGGGTGTTTTTCTTCTAAGGGGACAGGACAACTTCACCGCATCAAAGGGACGATGGACGGGGCCATGTGCCGTCAAATCTTGGGTGAGAACCTCCTTCCCTCAGCCAGGGCATTGAAAATGGGTCGTGGATGGGTATTCCAGCATGACAATGACCCAAAACACACAGCCAAGGCAACAAAGGAGTGGCTCAAGAAGAAGCACATTAAGGTCCTGGAGTGGCCTAGCCAGTCTCCAGACCTTAATCCCATAGAAAATCTGTGGAGGGAGCTGAAGGTTCGAGTTGCCAAACGTCAGCCTCGAAACCTTAATGACTTGGAGAAGATCTGCAAAGAGGAGTGGGACAAAATCCCTCCTGAGATGTGTGCAAACCTGGTGGCCAACTACAAGAAACATCTGACCTCTGTGATTGCCAACAAGGGTTTTGCCACCAAGTACTAAGTCATGTTTTGCAGAGGGGTCAAATACTTATTTCCTTCATTAAAATGCAAATCAATTTATAACATTTTTGACATGCGTTTTTCTGGATTTTTTTGTTGTTATTCTGTCTCTCACTGTTCAAATAAACCTACCATTAAAATGATAGACTGATCATGTCTTTGTCAGTGGGCAAACGTCCAAAATCAGCAGGGGATCAAATACTTTTTTCCCTCACTGTAGTAGCCCAAAAATTGTTAAACAAATCAAAATAGATTTTAGGTTTTAGATTCTTCAAAATAGCCACCCTTTGCCTTGATGACAGCTTTGCACACTATTTGCATTCTCTCAACCAGCTTCATGAGGTAGTCACCTGGAATGCATTTCAATTAACAGGTGTGCCTTGTTAAAAGTTAATTTGTGGAATTTCTTTCCTTCTTAATGCAGTTGAGCCAATCAGTTGTGTTGTGACAAGGTAGGGTTGGTATACAGAAGATAGCCCTATTTGGTAAAAGACCAAGTCCATATTATGGCAAGACCAGGTAAAATAAGCAAAGAGAAACGACAGTTTTAATCTTTCAAAATCTCTCTCCCCCTCTCTGCCTCTCTCCCATGCTGTCTCTCTCTCTCTGTAGTGGATGTGTCAGTTCTGCACCTATGTGAACTTGCAGCCTGCAGTGGTTTGTAAGATGTGCAACTTGCCGTGCAAAGACCCTGCGGTCACCAGCCCCAAGTCCCTCCTCCTGCAATCTCCAATCAAAGACTTAGTCCCGCCTCCTGTGACGCCCCATATCCCTCCCCAGATCTCTTCCAGGGTGAACATCGACATCAAGAGACAGAACCTGATGAGGGATGAAGGGCTGAAGCTTGTCCATGAAATACGAGTAGGTGGCGTTTGAACTGACTCTAAATGTGAATTAAAACCAGATTGACTGGTATTATTCTAACTTCTAAGTTGATGTTCTTCCTCAGAAGGGAGAGAAGAAGGGAGTGGGCCCTGAGGAGGTGTACGCAGCCCTCTGTGTTTCCAGGGGCAGCAACGTCAACCCCTGTGATTGGCTGAAATCAGAGCTGCCCCACCAACTGGATGAGATCTGTGCCATGGCGGCTTCGGCAGCTTTGCAGAACTACAAAGCAAGGGTTTCTGGGCCGCAGGATAACACTGAGAGGGATGTGGGGTCGACAGAGCAACAGAGTCCCAGTGTGCTGCTGGGTGAGGGGGTGCAGCTGTCCAGGGTTGAGGCCAAGCAGGCATGGCTGGCAGCAGGGGGCGACACTGAGAGAGCAGTCTGTCAGCTGCTCAGAGACAGACAGGCCAAGGTGAGAACCAGACAGTTCACCTGACCCTAATGGTCACTCAAAACTGATATGGCTAAACACTTTAGAGTTCACTAGACCCATCAGTGGCCTTGTGGTTAGAGTGTCAGACCTGAGGTTGGAAGGTTGGGAGTTTGATCCCAGGCCGAGACATACCAAAGACTGCTTGACACAGATAGTCTCCTGCTCCTATGAGCCATTCCAACTCGTGCAAGGCTACTTACTGAGATAGTCTGTGTCACGATTAAGCCTACAGTGCCTTCGGAAAGTATTGAGACCCCTTGACTTTTTCCACATTTTGTTACGTTACAGCCTTATTCTAAAATGGATTAAATAAATACAATTCCTCAGCAATCTACACACAATACCCCATAATGACAAAGTGAAAACAGGTTTTTAGACATTTTAGCAAATGTATTTAAAATAAAAAACAGAAATACCTTATTTACGTAAGTATTCAGACGCTTCCCTATGAGACTCGATATTGAGCTCAAGTGCATCCTGTTTCCATTGATCATCCTTGAGATGTTTCTACAACTTGATTGGAGTCCACCCGTAGTAAATTCAATTGATTGGACATGATTTGGAAAGGCACACACCTGTCTATAAAAGGTCCCACAGTTGACAGTGCTTGTCAGAGCAAAAACCAAGCCATGAGGTTGATGGAATTGTCCGTAGAGGTCCGAGACAGGATTGTGTCAAGGCACAGATCTGGGGAAGGGTACCAAAAGCATTCTGCAGCATTGAAGGTCCCCAAGAACACAGTGGCCTCCATCATTTTTAAATAGAAGAAGTTTGGAACCACCAAGACTCGTCCTAGAGCTGGCCGCCTGGCCAAACTGAGCAATCAGGGGAGAAGGGCCTTGGTCAGGGAGGTGACCAAGAACCAGATGGTCACTCTGACAGAGCTCTAGAGTTCCTCTGTGGAGATGGGAGAACCTTCCAGAAGGACAACCATCTCTGCAGCACTCCACCAATCAGGCCTTTATGGTAGAGTGGCCAGAAGGAAGCCACTCCTCAGTAAAAGGCACATGACAGCCCGCTTGGAGTTTGCCAAAAGGCACCTAAAGACTCAGACCATGAGAAACAAGATTCTCTGGTCTGATGAAACCAAGATTGAACTCTTTGACCTGAATGCCAAGCCGTCACATCTGGAGGAAACCTGGCACCCATCTCTACGGTGAAGCATGGTGGTGGCAGCATCATGCTGTGGGGATGTTTTTCAGCGGCAGGGACTGGGAGACTAGTCAGGATCGAGGGAAAGATGAACGGAGCAAAGTATAGAGAGATCCTTGATGAAAACCTGCTCCAGAGCGCTCAGGACCTCAGACTGGGGCGAAGGTTCACCTTCCAACAGGACAACAACCCTAAGCACACAGCCAAGACAACGCAGGAGTGGCTTCGGGACAAGTCTCTGAATGTCCTTGAGTAGCCCAGCCAGAGCCCAGACTTGAACCCAGACTTGAACCCGATCGAACATCTCTGGAGAGACCTGAAAATAGCTGTGCAGCAACGCTCCCCATCCAAGCTGACAGAGCTTGAGAGGATCTGCAGAGAAGAATGGGAGAAACTCCCCAAATACAGGTGTGCCAAGCTTGTAGCGTCATACCCAAGAAGACTCGAGGCTGTAATCGCTGCCAAAGGTGCTTCAACAAAGTACTGAATAAAGGGTCTGAATACTTATGTAAATGTGATATTTCCTTTTTTTTTTTTTTTTATACATTTGCAAAAAAATCTAAAAACCTGTTTTTGCTTTGTCATTATGGGGTATTGTGTGTAGATTGATGAGGGGGGGAAAACAATTTAATCAATTTTACAATAAAGCTGTAACGTAACAAAATGTGAAAAAAGTCTAGGGGTCTGAATACTTTCCGAAAGCACTGTATATGCAAAGTATACTGCAGTTACATTTTTTTGTCATGTCGCAGACGCTCTTATCCAAAGCGACTTAGAGGAGCAATTAGGGTTAAATGCCTTGCTCAAGGGCTATTCGACAGATTTTTCATCTAGTCGGCTCAGGGATTCAAACCAGCGACCATTCAGTTACTGGCCCAGCACTCTTAACCGCTAGGCTACCTGCCGCCCCAAATCAAAATGTATTTGTCACGTGCACAGGATACAGCAGGTGTAAACAGTCCAGTAAAATGCTTACTTGCAAGCTCCTCAAGAATGCAGTAATACTAAGATATGAAAGAGGTGTTTCCACTCTGACTGGGTCTGGTCTGTCTCTGGTGTGTAGATGCGGGAGCTGCGTTCTCTGGGCTTCCGGGAGGCATCCCAGTGTGAGGAGGCTCTGCGTCTGAGTGGAGGAGAGGTGCGGGGGGCTCTGTCCCTGCTGCAGCGGCCCCTCCTGGAGCCCTTCCACCAGCGCATCTGGAGCGACCAGCCAGAAGCCCCCATTGATGCCAAGAACCCTGACAAACAGGTACTGCAGAGTGTATGTGTCTGAGAGAGACAGAGAGAGAGCACAAGTCAACTAAACTGCATTTCCCAAGGCCATAGATAACACAAATAATCTGATTGTTGTTCATCATCATCATTACCCTCCATTGTCCTCTCAGAGGATGTGCAGGCGCCTGCTGGCGTTGTACGAGCTGCCCAGCTGGGGGCGCTGTGAGCTGGCCCTGTCTCTACTCCAGGAGCCTGATGCCCAGTACTCCCTGGAGGACGTCATCCAGGCCGTCAGAGAGTCCCAGGACAGAGAGTTCCTCCGCCGCCTTCTCAACAACGAGTGCCCCTGCTGCCTCAGCATCTTCCCACACAGCAAGGTGGGCTGCTGGGGGTTTGGTTGAGTTTGCGTGGAATGGTGTAGCTACATTGCACTGCATGTTGTTTTGTAATTCTTTAGTACAATTGACTTTCAGTGCAACGTAGACATACTGTAACTTTCACTTTGGTGCCCTCCTCTCTCAGATATGGTGTGTCATTTCTATAAGCTGTTAATACCGGTATGTGGTTTATGGGTTTATACTGCATAGATCCTTCAAACATTCTCTGTACCTCTCTCAGATGCAGTCCCTGACCTCGTGTCAGTGCTCGGTGTGCCACGAGTGTTTCACACAGCATTTCACCATCGCTGTGAGAGACAAGCACATCAGAGACATGGTGTGTCCCGTGTGTGCGGGACCAGACATCAACGACCCTGAGCACCTGGACAGCTACTTCTTTACTCTGGACATTCAGGTGATAAGAAGAAGAATAAGAATACACTTTGTTTGGAAGGGAAGATATGGAGATAGATGGGAGGTATCCAGTTTGCAAAGTTACCTGTTTTATTTTTTCAGAAATCCCAGATTTGAGCATTTTTGCAACCCTAGGAGGGCTATAGGTAGATGGAAATCAAATCAAATCAAATTATATTTGTCACATGTACTGAATACAACAGGTGTAGACCTTAAAGTGAAATGCTTACTTACAAGCCCTTAACCAACAATGCAATTTTAAGAAAGAATACCTAAAAAAAAAAAAAAAAGTAACAAATAATTAAAGAGCAGCAGTAAAATAACAGTAGGGAGGCTATATACAGGGGGTACCGGTACAGAGTCAATGTGCGGGGGCACAGGTTAGTCGAGGTAATTAGGTAATATGTACATGTAGGTAGAGTTATTAAAGTGACTATGCATAGCTAATAAACAGAGAGTAGCAGCAGCGTCAAAGAGGAGGGGGGGGGCAATGCAAATAGTCTGGGTAGCCATTTGATTAGTCTTATGGCTTGGGGGTAGAAGCTGTTTAGAAGCCTCTTGGACCTAGACTTGGCGCTCCGGTACCGCTTGCCGTGCGGTAGCAGAGAGAACAGTCTATGACTAGGGTGGCTGGAGTCTTTGACCATTTTTAGGGCCTTCCTCTGACACCGCCTGGTATAGAGGTCCTGGATGGCAGGAAGCTTGGCCCCAGTGATGTACTGGGCCGTACGCACTACCCTCTGTATTGCCTTGCGGTCAGCGGCCGAGCAGTTGCCAGACCAGGCAGTGATGCAACCAGTCAGGATGCTCTCGATGGTGCAGCTGTAGAATCTTTTGAGGATCTGAGGACCCATGCCAAATCTTTTCAGTCTCCTTAGGTGGAATAGGTTTTGTCGTGCCCTCTTCACAACTGTCTTGGTGTGCTTGGACCATGTTAGTTTGTTGGTGATGTGGACACCAAGGAACCTGAAGCTCTCAACCTGCTTCACTACAGCCCCGTCGATGAGAATGGGCCGTGCTCGGTCCTCTTCTTTTTCCTGTAGTCCACAATCATCTCCTTTGTCTTGATCACGTTGAGGGAGAGGTTGTTGTCCTGGCACCACACGGCCAGGTCTCTGACCTCCTCCCTATAGGCTGTCTTATCGTTGTCGGTGATCAGGCCTGCCACTGTTGTGTCATCTGCAAACGTAATGATGGTGTTGGAGTCGTGCCTGGCAATGTAGTCATAAGTGAACAGGGAGTACAGGAGGGGACTGAGCACGCACCCCTGAGGGGCCCCCGTGTTGAGGATCAGCGTGGCGGATGTGTTGTTACCTACCCTTACCACCTGGGGGCGGCCCGTCAGGAATTCCAGGATCCAGTTGCAGAGGGAGGTGTTTAGTCCCAGGGTCCTTAGCTTAGTGATGGGCTTTGAGGGCACTATGGTGTTGAACGCTGAGCTGTAGTCAATGAACAGCATTCTCACATAGGTGTTCCTTTTGTCCAGGTGTGAAAGGGCAGTGTGGAGCGCAATAGAGATTGCATCATCTGTGGGTTGCAAGCCCTGCCGCATCCGACGAGCTTCAGAGCCGGTGTAGTAAGATTCGATCTTAGTCCTGTATTGACGCTTTGCCTGTTTGATGGTTCGTCGGAGGGCATAGCGGGATTTCTTATAAGCTTCCGGATTAGAGTCCCGCTCTTTGAAAGCGACAGCTGTACCCTTTAGCTCAGTGCGGATGTTGCCTGTAATCCATGGCTTCTGGTTGGGGTATGTACATACAGTCACTGTGGGGACGACGTCATCGATGCACTTATTGATGAAGCCAGTGACTGATGTGGTGTACTCCTCAATGCCATCGGAAGAATCCCGGAACATATTCCAGTCTGTGCTAACAAAACAGTCCTGTAGCTTAGCATCTGCTTCATCTGACCACTTTTTTATTGACCGAGTCACTGTTGCTTCCTGCTTTAGTTTTTGCTTGTAAGCAGGAATCAGGAGGATAAAATTATGGTCAGATTTGCCAAATGGAGGGCGAGGGAGAGCTTTGTACGCTGGTTGCACATTTAACATGCTGGTAGAAATGAGGTAAAACGGATTTAAGTTTCCCTGCATTAAAGTCCCTTGCCACTAGGAGCGCCGCCTCTGGATGAGCATTTTCCTGTTTGCTTATGGCCGTATACAGCTCATTGAGTGCCGTCTTAGTGACAGCATCGGTTTGTGGTGGTAAATAGACAGCTACGAAGAATATAGATGAAAACTCTCTTGGTAGATAGTGTGGTCTACAGCTTATCATGAGATACTCTACCTCAGGCGAGCAAAACCTTGAGACTTCCTTAGTATTTGATTTTGTGCACCAGCTGTTGTTTACAAATATACATAGACCGCCACCCCTTGTCTTACCAGAGGCTGCTGTTCTATCCTGCCGATACAGTGCACAACCCGCCAGCTGTATGTTATTCATGTCGTCGTACAGCCACGACTCGGTGAAACGTAAGATATTACAGTTTTTAATGTCCTGTTGGTAGGATATAGGTGCTTGTAGTTGTCCACTTTATTATCAAGCAATTGTACGTTGGCCAATAGTACCAATGGCAAAGGCAGATTAGCCACTCGTCGCCGGCTCCTTACCAGGCACCCCGCGATATCACCGTCTCTTTCTACTGCGAATGATGGGGATGAGGGCCCTGTCAGGTGTCTGGAGCAAATCCCTCTCGTCCAACTCATTAAAGAAAAATTATTTGTCCAGTTCAAGGTGAGTAATCGCTGTTCTGATGTCCAGAAGCTCTTTTCGGTCATAAGATACGGTAGCAGCAACATTATGTACAAAATAAGTTACAAACAATGCGAAAAAACTAACAAAACAGCACGGTTGGTTAAGAGCCCATAAAACGGCAGCTTGTGTTGTGTTTCATGTTCATACCATTGTTATTTCTGTTGTGTGTTTAGCTGAGAGACTGTCTGGATCGTGAGGTGTACGAGCTCTTCCACAAGAAGCTGATGGAGCATGCTCTGATGAAGGACCCCATGTTCCTGTGGTGCTGTCACGTGAGTGGGTTTCTAACCAGCTCCATCACATACAGTACCAGTCAAAAGTTTGGACACACCTACTCATTCAAGGGTTTTTCTTTATTTTTACTATTTTCTACATTGTAGAATAATAGTGAAGACATCAACACTATGAAATAACACATATGGAATCATGTAGTAACCAAGTGTTAAACAAATCAAAATATATTTTATATTTGAGATTCTTCTAAGTAGCCACCCTTTGCATTGATGACAGCTTTGCACACTCTTGGCATTCTCTCAACCAGTTTCACCTGGAATGCTTTTCCAACAGTCTTGAAGGAGTTCCCACATATGCTGAGCACTTGTTGGCTGCTTTTCCTTCACTCTGCGGTCCTACTCATCCCAAACCATCTCAATTGGGTTGAGGTCGGGTGATTGTGGAGGCCAGGTCATCTGATGCAGTACTCCATTACTCTCCTTCTTGGTCAAATAGCCCTTACACAGTCTGGAGGTGTGTTGGGTCATTGTCCTGTTGAAAAACAAATGATAGTCCCACTAAGCGCAAACCAGATGGGATGGCGTATCGCTGCAGAATGCTGTGGTAGCCATGCTGGTTAAGTGTGCCTTGAATTCTAAATAAATCACAGACAGTGTCACCAGCAAAGCACCCCCACACCATCACACCTCCTCCATGCTTCACGGTGGGAACCACACATGCGGAGATCATCCGTTCACCTACTCTGAGTCTCACAAAGACACGGCGGTTAGAACCAAATTTGGACTCATCAGACCAAAGGACAGATTTCCACCGGTCTAATGTCCATTGCTCGTGTTTCTTGGCCCAAGCAAGTCTCTTCTTCTTATTGGTGTCCTTTAGTAGTGGTTTCTTTTCAGCAATTCGACCATGAAGGCCTGATTCATGCAGTCACCTCTGAACAGTTGATGTTGAGATGTGTCTGTTACTTGAACTCTGTAAAGCATTTATTTGGGCTGCAATCTGAGGTGCAGTTATTCTAATGAACTTATCTTCTGCAGCAGAGGTAACTCTGGGTCTTCCTTTCCTGTGGCGGTCCTCATGAGAGCCAGTTTCATCATAGCGCTTGATGGTTTTTGCGACTGCACTTGAAGAAACTTTCAAAGTTCTTGAAATGTTCCGGATTGACTGACCTTCATGTCTTAAAGTAATGATGGACTGTCATTTCTCTTTGCTTATTTGAGCTGTTCTTGCCATAATATGGACTTGGTCACAACACAACTGATTGGCATTAAGAAGGAAAGAAATTCCACAAATTAACTTTTAACAAGGCACACCTGTTAATTGAAATGCATTCCAGGTGACTACCTCATGAAGCTGGTTGAGAGAATGCCAAGAGTGTGCAAAGCTGTCATCAAGGCAAAGGGTGGCTACTTTGAAGAATCTCAAATATAAAATATATTTTGATTTGTTTAACACTTTTTTGGTTACTACATGATTCCATATGTGTTATTTCATAGTTTTGATGTCTTCACTATTATTCTACAATGTAGAAAATAGTAAAAATAAAGAAAAACCCTTGAATGAGTAGGTGTGTCCAAACTTTTGACTGGTACTGTATACAGTTACTTCTCTACTGTATTTCCCTTTTCATTCACCCCTCTCTTCTCCTCCTCCCTCCTCTTCCCTCCTCAGTGCACCTTTGGGTTTATCTATGATGGAAACCAATTCAAAGTCACCTGTCCCACGTGTATAAAGAGCTTTTGTAACCAATGCAAAAAGCCTGTAAGTACAAAAGATACCTGTTGTTGTCTTGCCTGCCATGTATTGTGTCATTTCATAGCTACGTGTATGTGGGACCCAAATAATGATGCATGTATGTCTCTCTCTCCATCTTTCTCTCTCCTTCTCTCTCACTCCCTCTATCTCTCCCTCCTTCTATCTCCCCCCCCCCCCCCCCCCCCCCCCCCCCCCCCTCTCTCTCTCTCTCTCTCTCTCTCTCTCTCTCTCTCTCTCTCTCTCTGTCAGTGGGAAGCTCAGCACCAGGATTTATCCTGTGAGCAGTTCCAGTTGTGGAAGAGACAGAATGACCCTGACTACCAGAGACAGGGGCTGGCTGGGTTCCTGCGGGACAACGGCATCAGTGAGCCAGTCAGCCTAGACAACCTGCAGTTATTGGCCCATATTCACAAAGAGTTTTAGAGTATGGTTGCTGATATACGATCAGATTTCCTTTTTAGATAATAATAATAAATACGATTATCTGGACAGACAGGACCTGGTCCTAGATCAGCACTTCTACTTTGAAACTCTTGACTCCTGGCACACAATGCCATCTCACCATCATCACCATCATCATAATTGTTATAACACCATGATGTGGTCCTTCTTGTCATCTCTCTCCGTAGCCTGTCCTCACTGCAGGTTCCAGTATGCCTTGACCAAAGGGGGCTGCATGCACTTCAGCTGCTCCCAATGCAGATACCAGTTCTGCAGCGGCTGCAACAATCCCTTCCACACTGTAAGTCACATAAAAGGGACTGCATGGAGTACCATATTTCTCACTAAATGGATTCAGTCAGAGGGAAGGATCTCCCTTTCCCCCAGGGCTTTCTCATCATACATTCCCAGCCTCATGTCTGTTTCCTTTTTCACTTTCCCTTCTTCACCCGTTTCCCTCCCTCCTCTCCCTCTCCCTCTCCCTCTCTCTCAGACGGCTTGTAAAACAGTCCAGTGTAAGATCACAGGTCTCCATGCTCATCACCCACGCGACTGTCTCTTCTACCTCAGGGACTGGGAGCCTGCCAGACTACAGGCCCTGCTGCAGGTACAGAGACAAGGGATGTTCTGGGAACGTTACAGAGGGATGTTCTGGGAACGTTACAGAGGGAATGTTCTGGGAATGTTACAGAGGGAATGTTCTGGGAACGTTACAGTGGGAATGTTCTGGGAACACTACAGAGGGAATGTTCTGGGAACGTTACAGAGGGAATGTTCTGGGAACGTTACAGAGGGAATGTTTTGGGAACATTACCGAGGGAATGTTCAGGAAACATTACAGAGATAATGTTCTGGGAATGTTATTGAGAGAATGTTCTGGGAACATTACAGGAGGAATGTTTTGGGAATGTTACAGAGGGAATGTTCTGGGAACATTAAAGGGTTGTCAATTCAATGTTGTGTTTCTGAGCTAAGGTGTTTATATTTTGTCCACAGAGGAGTGCTGTTGAGTTCAACACAGAACCCCCTAATGGGACACAGACTGGTGAGAGTGACCTCTTGTTTATCCTCTCTTAGTTCCCAGATCTGTGAGAACTCATTTTCCCTTTCTGTCTGACTCCTTTCTGTCTGACTCCTTTCTGTGGGACTCCTTTCTGTCTGGCTCCTTTCTGTCTGACTCCTTTCTGTGTGACTCCTTTCTGTCTGACTCCTTTCTGTCTGACTCCTTTCTGTGGGACTCCTTTCTGTCTGACTCCTTTCTGTCTGACTCCTTTCTGTCTGACTCCTTTCTGTGTGACTCCTTTCTGTCTGACTCCTTTCTGTGTGACTCCTTTCTGTGTGACTCCTTTCTGTCTGACTCCTTTCTGTGTGACTCATTTCTGTCTGACTCCTTTCTGTGTGACTCCTTTCTGTCTGACTCCTTTCTGTGTGACTCCTTTCTGTCTGACTCCTTTCTGTCTGACTCCTTTCTGTGTGACTCCTTTCTGTCTGACTCCTTTCTGTGTGACTCCTTTCTGTGTGACTCCTTTCTGTGTGACTCCTTTCTGTGTGACTCCTTTCTGTCTGACTCCTTTCTTTCTGACTCCTTTCTGTCTGACTCCTTTCTGTGTGACTCCTTTCTGTGTGACTCCTTTCTGTCTGACTCCTTTCTGTGTGACTCCTTTCTGTGTGACTCAGACGCGTGTGGAGTGATGGAGCAGAAGGATGACGGGGGTCAGCAGATCGACTCACCCTGTGGAGTCCAAACTCAGCCAGGACACGCTGGACTCTGCGAGTTAGTCACACACACACAGTTGATAATACCTTATTGTTTGTTGTTATTTGTGCATTACACACACACATATATCCAGTGGGTTTAATTGTATTGTATTTAATTGTAGGGGAGAGTGGGGTAAGTTGTGCCATTTTCTACATTCAGGGGGTTCAAGGGAAATATAATATTCTTTCTAATAAAGATATCTACATACATTTCAGGATGTTGTATATCCCTGGAAATAATCAGAATTCAGTTAAAAACATAGCTTGTCCAAAAAAAAGTGGTCTCTTGGCACAATTTACCCTAGGTATGGGGTAAGTTGAGCCGCAGGACAGGGTAAGTTAAGCCACATACAAATGTCTGTAATGAATGAAATATTACCACTACCTTTTTAAAACCATGTCTATCTTTATTTCCCAAACACAATTCAACACAATCACAATCGCTTTTTTGTTTTTTAATCATTTGAATCATCTTTTAATACAGGTTAACACCTAAAAAACACTTTGCCTTGCATTACTCCTTGGAAGAAAACTTCAACTTGTCATTGGCTCAACCATTGGCTAAACTTACCCCATGGCCAACTTACTCCAAGGCAAACGTTTTGACTATATTAGCCCACACAAGGATGGACTTTCATGCTAGGTTTAGGATCTCATATTAAAGCTAATAGAGACCCCAACTGATGTATAGAACAATCTTAAAAGTATCTACTTTGGTTTAGATACAAGCATGAAACCTGATGACCTCTTCCTAAATATTTGGTCAAATTATACATTTTGTGTATGGTTTCCTAGAAACAAGGGTGGCTCAACTGACCCCTTTGGCTCAACTTACCTGACTCTACCCTATTGAAGATATGTAATGAAAAGTTAATGATATTTAAGCAGTAAGGCGTGTGGTAAGAAGTGTGGTATATGGCCAATATACCACGGCTAAGGGTTGTTCTTACGCACGACGCAACACGGAGTGCCTGGATACAGCCCTTAGCCGTGGTATATTGGCCATATACCACAAACCCCTGAGGTGCCTTATTGCTATTATAAACTGGTAACGTAATTAGAGCAGTACAAAGTAATGTTTTGTCATACCAGTGGTATACGGTCTGATATATCACGTCTGTCAGCCAATCAGCATTCAGGGCTTGAACCACCTAGTTTATAATAACTTTTAAACCACCTTTGCTATCTGTTAGGCTGTCTCACTCTGTCTGTCTGTGTGTGTGGCCATTGCAGTAAACACTACAGAGAGTACCTGGTTAGTCTCATCAACGGACACACTCTGGACCCCGCTCTTCTCTACGACCAACAAGAGGTGACAGTTGCCTGCAAGAGGTACCAGGTGGAGGAGCAACAACGGGAGGGGGAGGACGACAGGGTGTACAAGGCTCGACTGCTGAAGGTCAGTCATCACTCAGTTAGGCTTGTGGCCTCACTGGAAGTTTGCACTAAATCGTTTCTATGTTCATTTTGATGTAGTGTTTTTGTTGTGGTTCAGATTGTGTGAAACTTTACTCTTTCTTTACAGAAACTGATGGAAGTTCCACTTGGAGAAAAGGTTCCTCGGATGAGATGAAGATTGATTGAATATTTTATTATCCATTTTAAGGAAAGTGCAGGTATCCTATTTGCAAACAGCATCGGGTTTCAAACCTCCCACCACATAGCATTACCAACCTAGCTGTTATATTGCATCTCATTGAAGTTTAACATGCTTTGTTTGTTATATGGTTCATTCGATTTCTGAAATCATTTTGTTCACAATTACACATCTACAGGTATCTCAATTTCCTCTCTGTACAAGGATAACGCTGCAAAGGAAGACTTACAAGACAGGCCAATTAACAACTGTCTTTCTGGTTTATTTTTATTAGATAGATGAGTTTAAAATACAGCACTAAACAACTTTAGAACACATAAGGGGAAGGTGTCTGTCATCTTAAAAATGGCAGTCAATATTGTGAGATCAATAGCACATAGTATACAGAATGTAACATTAGGGTGTACCATGCAATAAAGTATTTTATTGATTTAAAAATTAGTTTTATGACTGGTCTCAATTTTGTCTCATCAGTTGCAGGCTGTTCTCTGAGAAAATATCCTATATTTGAGCCAAATGTCGCCCCCTGGTGTCATAGCAGTAAACTGAATTATTTCTACAAAGTCACGTGATTTCGGAGAAAAGGAGCGTCTGCCTCTGTTCTGCGCGAGGAAAGCGAATAGCCTCTGGATTTTCCAGTCGAAGTGCTATGCGCTGCTAGATCCGCTCTCGTGAAGAATCCGAGGAAAACCAACACAAGGTAAACGAAACTATTCACATTCATCACACTGATTCTAAATCTATGGAAAAGTAGGATTTCTGTAGATCAGCTGGTAGAGCAAGGTAGTGGGTTCGATCCCCGGGACCACCCATACACAAAAATGTATGCACGCATGACTGTAAGTCGCTTTGGATAAAAGCGTCTGCTAAATGGCATATTATTATTATTATTATTATTTACACTTCATGAGCAATTTGTTTATTTATTAGTTTGTTATTTTTAGATGGGGACATCAATATCTGATTTGATTATAGGATCGTCTCTAAGCATAATAGTTGCTCACATTCATAAATTAACTTTTTTAATATTGTAATTTCAACTGAAGCTGGTGTACAAAGCCGAAAGTAAAAAGAGCAAAAACGAAACTGGGAACGGATCTACCGCTTCTCAGATTTGCATTGATGAGAATTACAGATCTATAACTCTCAAATTTCTACTGCGCCTTTAAGTGTTGTTATCTGTGCAGTCTGCCATGGCAGTCTGCCAGTGTGAATGTCCTCAGCTGAACTACAAACACACACATGTCACGCGTACATACTCACAATACTCGTTATCACAGCTAGCACTGCTCTTACTGTATTATGTTGTGTTTGTTTCTATCAGCCTATATATAGGTCTCAGGAGGTTGGTGGCACCTTAATTGGGGAGGGCAGGCTCATGGTAATGGCTGGAGTGGAATAGGTGGAATGGTATCAAATACATCAAACATGTGGTTGATACCATTCCATTTGCTCCGATCCAGCCATTATTATGAGCCGTACTCCCCTCAGCAGCCTCCACTGATGTAGGCCTAATACTGTCTGTATAGTTTTAAAACACAATAATTTTTTGAGGCCAGACTAGATGGAAATAAGAAAGTTATACTGTTTTCACAGCTATGGCATCTGGGAGAATTCGCTCCACCCGCAGACTACGCTCTTGGATGGTAGACCAGGTGAGTGTTTGTGGAGGATGGGTTCAATAGTTCCTTTTGAGCAAATGAATGTGTGTGCACTGGAACAGCTGTTTACAGTGGGTGTGTCTGAGCTGGTATGCCATAGTTACCAGTACATTTGAGTCATTTAACAGATGCTCTTATCCAGAGCAATTATGGTTAAGTGCCTTGCTCAAAGGCACATCGACTGATTTTTTACCTAGTCGGCTCAGGGATTCGAACCAGTGACCTTTCAGTTATAGGCCCAACACTCTTAACCGCTAGGTCAGCAGTGGGAAGTACCCTGGCCTGATATGGGACGATGACGCCAGGACCATGTTCCGTATCCCCTGGAAACACGCTGGGAAACAGGACTTCCGCAGTGAAGAGGATGGTGCCATCTTCAAGGTCCTGACACTATGAACTTTATCAGTACTATCCCTAGTTCGTTAAGTCTTAATTTTACAATAGCCCCTCGTCATTTATAATCTATTAAACACATACAGTAGACATTATTTCCTGAGCTGTGAGATTAAATGCCTCCTCCACAGGCATGGGCAGTGTTTAAGGGGAAGTTATCCGAAGGGGGTCGTGTGGACCCTGCCTCCTGGAAGACCCGGCTGCGCTGTGCTCTCAATAAGAGCCCAGAGTTCAGAGAGGTCCCCGAGAGGTCACAGCTAGACATCTCCGAACCATACAAGGTTTACTGCCTTGTACCCATCAATGAACAAGGTGAGACACACACACTGTAAGTTAGTTAGTTATGCAATGTTTATTTCTACCCCTCTTCTACGATGTTCCAGCCATTATCTTTTGATCCTTTGGCCTTGTGTAGAAATCTACAGTATAACCACATCATCATACCTACTATCTGGGAACAGACCGGGTGTAGCAGTGTGCATTCTTTAGGTTTGAGGAAGTTACACTCGAGGTTGAGAAGATTTAGATTTTTAATATTGGCCAACTCCATTACCACATGCATGCGGCACTCTACTCTAGTTCCCTGTCAGTCTGTCCAAAGGGACATACAGTCATACCAGAGTCAGCGGTGCAAATGTTATCAGAGCAGCAATAACTCCATATAGTTTGTAGCTATGGAGACAACTTCAAAGCAGGCTAAACTGCAGTAAACAAATTCCTGACATATGATCCCTTTTCTCTTCACAGCGTTGGGGAGTGTTCAAATAAAGGGCAGAGCCAGAGCAAGAGGGAGGAAGAGGAGGAGTAGCGATTCAGACAGCGAGGAGGAGGTGAAGGAGGAGGAGGAGGAGGTTATGGTCAAACAGACGAAAAAGGAGGTCATCACCCCCCCGATCACCATGGTAGGTTTGGCATTTTAAGGACAAAACAAGTTCTAGAAACATTTGGATGTATCTCTCTTAATTGTTTATTTATGTCAATTTGTGTGTGTTTTTATCAGTCTGTTCAGGAGATTGAGGAAAGTGTTCTTACCCTCCAGCAAGACCAGTTCGATCAGCCCTTGGTCATCCTGAAGAGTGATGGGAGTAAGTCTTATGTCTTACTAACTCAATGTCATGTCTGTCCTCCAAATGTCTGTCAAACACTGAATCTCTGAGTTAATTGATGTTGGATCTCTCAGCCACTGTCTCTCCACTCTGGGGAGTTCTCCAATAGCATGTGGTTGATTGACATGCTGTTGATATTCTGTTGTCTTCCTCTAGCGGTCGATGAGATCCAGGTGAACGTCACGATTGAGACCGTTCCTCCCCCTGGAGGTAATGCTATTGATGATGCATGATGCTGTGTAGAGAGGAAGTCAAGTCAGCTTCTCAATCACATGGGGGCCGATTCTGACCTGAGTTAAGCGCGTGTAAATGGAACGCAATTCAATTTTTATGCACTTTTCTCTCTACTCGTATTCTGACCTTGAACTTAAGCATGAGAATAGCATGCTATTCACCTGCTATTTGTTTGGGGTGGAGATGGAATAAATGTAGGTGTGGCGGAGGTATGTCTACATATACACCTTATTCTGACCTTGACTTCTGACCTTGACTTCTGACCTTGCCTTATTCCCTAATAATTCCACCACATTTACGCCCGAGGAAACCATGAATAACGTCTAACAAACCTACCGGTTTCAAGTGGAAAAAGCATTTATTTTTTCAGATAACACCATTCTTCTTACAACTTGATAAGAGCTATTGATAAGAGCTAGGTAAATAAGTAATCCGTTTGGACAAGAGAATTGTAAATATAAATTACACTTCTGTTAGATATACTGTACTTTCCTAACCCTAAATAATCTACAAGATCAGAGTATTTTTTTAATCTACCAATTGGTGCTGAAACAGAGATGAATTAGCATATATTTAGATGGCTTTCATTCATTCATCCCTAATATTATGAACCCATTCTCTCCATATATTCTGGTGAGTCTGTCGACTAAATTCTAACTAAAAGGTACACCGTATTTAAAGGGATGGCTGAAGGTAAATGTACTGAAAACCCTATTGAATGAAAACTCCACAAGAAAATCTGTTGGCCAGCAAGTGGGAGGGTTTTCAGCAGTTGAATTACATTTATTAAGCGCGTGCAAGGGAACAATGCCTGCAAAGCCTGTTATGCACCTTTGTAAGGTAAGTCTGAATACCAATGTTGTGGAAATTCTTACACAGGGACACTCAAAGTAAATCTTAAATGAATAATTGTTTATTGTCAGCGCACTGGAGACATTCCAACAAACTTGATGCACCATAGTGAACGTCTGTCAGGAGCTCTAATGGGGAAGTCCCGTTTAGTTCCCTTATATACTGGTTACAGACACGTTACATAGGCATGGTTCATAGGGTTGGTTCCGGCATGTGTCTGGCACCATCTCCTATCTTAACTTAAAGAACATATTCTGGGCGTTCTGGCAGATGTTCCTTCGGAGGGGTCATGACAGCCCCCCCTCATATCTTGACCAGACACAGGCAGGAACCAAGGATTGTTTATGACACCAAAGATAATATGTACAAAGTAAAAATGTCCTTTACACCAACTACTGAGAAGTGCATAGGAAAGGCGTAATTTCCTAAATTGGAATCAGGCCCATACTACATGAACTATTCCTGCACTGTCTCTCATTCACTCTCATTCTCTCTCTGTCTCTCATTCACTCTCATTCTCTCTCTGTTCCTCCAACTCCAGCACGGGACTCGTTCCATGTCTTAGTGAAATACATAGGACACGAGGTGCTTAAACGTGAGGTCATAGGCAGCGATGTCCGAATCGCCTACCTGCCCTCATCGCCCATCCCCCCCACCCTGATGATGGGTGGCTTCCCCCGCATCCCCCTCCCAGACTCCCCCTCCACTCTGACCTCCAGCCCTGGCATCGGGCCCCGGCTCCAGGCCCTCTCCACCCTGCTGCCCTTCATGGAGAAAGGGGTGATCCTGACTTCAACGGGGGCAGGGGTCTATGCTAAGCGCTACTGCCAGGGCCGGGTGTTCTGGACAGGGCCACATTCAACCACGACGGGACCCCACAAGATGAACCGTGCTGTGGAGCCCGTGCTGCTCTTTGACAGAGAGGCTTTCAGAACGGGTGAGTGACATGGGGCTGTTCACTCTCTCTTGGTTTGTTGGTGAGGATCACCCACTTCTTTCTTGTCCCCTTATTGGATATTTCAGCAGTCAGTGTGTATTTGCTGACTGCGTGTTTCCTTAGAGCTGGACCACTTCCGCAGTTACGGGGGAGACCCTCCTCAGTGTGGCATCACCTTGTGTTTCGGAGAGGAGTTCAGTGCCACAGAGGACCCGTCCAGCAAACTCATCATCACACAGGTACAGTTGAGCAAGCTTTTCCCCACCTACTCATAAAGAACTGTAACGCCTGTTCAAATGTAAAAAGGTGCAACAATTGCATACCTTAAAACGGGGTTCCCCAACTGGCAGCGCCCCAAATTCTCTGTTGGACATAAGACTGTAAAAACACCAGCAAATCAGCACCAAGTGATTTTAATTTTGGAAATCTGTTCCCAAAGTATTCCCATACATAATAAAGAGATATGCGTTTTTGATACAAATGTAAGCAAGGTTTGAAATGATTATGTTTTAGCCAGATATATCTGTTTAGGCTTTTTGCGGTCAATTTGCAGTCTACAAATTATTATAATAATTATGTTCCGGCCCCCTGACCATCCGCTCAATACAAAAATCAGTCCGTGGCTGGATCTAGTTGATGATCCCTGCCTTAGAATGTAAATACTAAGGTTTATGTAAGTACAGGATAACTACACATTTTTCACTGTGAAATAGAGAGGGACTGAACCACCCACCCCCTCTTCTCCAGATAACCCTACCCTGGGCTCAGCAGCAGGTCAAGGAAGCTGAAGACTTCCGGGAGTCAATGACCTACCTACGCGACATAGCCAGCCAATCAGGAGATGTCACCATCAACCTGGTACCAGTGCCTTACCCCTGAGCATCCAATCACAGGATATATTGTATAGTTACGGAAGGGAAAAAAATGGAAGCACTATCTGATCTGATACCAATGGCTTGATTCAATCCGTATCGCGGAAATTCAGTGCTATAGAGCAATTTAAAGGCAATGTTCCCGCATTCGCGGAGACTGCATTCACAGTAAACGCAGCATATGTCTGCCCAATCAGAAATTAGTTTTAAATTTAAACCGCGCTGAACTTCCGTAATACGGATTGAATCGAGCCCCAAGCCTTCTCAGACATGAACCACTAGACTGAATAGCACTACATGGAATGGAAGACATCACTTTGGTTTAGCCTTCAGGATTGCCCTTTACCAACCCCAACACCTGATGTTATACAACTGGTCCAAATGAGTTCAAACTCACTTTGGCTGCAGTTTTGAAAAAGATCTGATGTGAAAAGATATGATGTGATTGGTCAAAAAATATATATATTTTACATTTTACATTTACATCATTTAGCAGACACTCTTATCCAGAGCGACTTACAAATTGGTGCATTCACCTTATGATAGCCAGTGGGACAACCACTTTACAAATAGTTTATTTTTTATTTTATTTTTTTACATTTTCTTAGAATGTTTTTTTTTTTTTTCAGTATGTTTTGAAATTTCATTTTTTAAAATATATATATATATATATATATATATATATATATATATATATATATATATATATATATATATATATATATATATATATATCATCACCATGCCAACTGTTAGAGGCAGGAAACCAACGTGTCTGTCTGTAGTTTTGGCTTCTGAAAGTGGTAATGCTTTTTAAGCAAATTTTTATTGAGAAAAAAACAATATTAATATACATTATCTCTTAGTATTATAGAAATGAACCAGGGGGTTCTCCTTTCTCTTGTGAACTGATGTTTTATATGAACACAATAGCGCATTAATACTTTAAATAGTTTGTAGATGTAGTTTAATGAGTTGATAAAAGCTTACACACTCAAAGCAGTTGGTCAGGATGCATAATGTTGTGATGCCATTGGCAGCCAGTGAACTATGAGCACGGCTCTGTTAGTGGTTGTAAGTGGGTTAACAACATGGCTGCTGGGTTTGACACAAGGCACACTCTGGACTGAGACCGTTAGGTGGAAGACTGCACATATCTGTAAATATTTATGTTATTTATGCATGTTTTGTGTTGTCAGTGTTCTGCCTGAGCGTATTAAAAATCTATTTCATATTTTGAAATGATCATGCATGATGTGCTTATTTGGCTGTTAGATGGTAATAATAAAAATAAGATTCTTACCTAAATATTTGTAGTTTCAGTAGGTTTAAGATATACAGTATATAATTCAAACTTTATTTAAAATGTAAAGAAGTAACACAAAAGTTAATAATCTACAAACTTATTTCAGACATTACTATTGGCTGGTGAGGCAAGCTCTGCTATTTTGGCATTCAGTTTCTGATTTGTCCAGTCCCTAGTGATGTCATCCAAATGGCTGTCAAAATCCACTAATAAGGAGTGATCTCCAGAGACCAGCAGCTGACTGGCTATTTCCCGAGTCTCCTCCCACTGCCGCAGCATTATCCTGGAAGAAAAACAAAGGTATCTTTAATGTATACTTAAAATACATTTATATTTTTCCAATCAAATGAAATTGTATTGGTCACATGCTTCGTAAACAACAGGTGTAGACTAACAGTGAAATGCTTACAGGCCCTTCCCAACAACAGGTGTAGACTAACAGTGAATTGCTTACAGGCCCTTCCCAACAATGCAGAGAGAAAAAAGAGAATTAATAGAAAAATAATTACAAGGAATAAATACACAATGAGTAACGATAACTTGGTTATATACACGGGGTACCAGTACAGTGTTGATGTGCAGGGGTACGAGGTAATTGAGGTAGATATGTACAGGATAGATAATAAACAGTAAAAGCAGCGTTTGTGATTAGTCAAAAGAGACAAAAAAGGGTCAATGCAGATAGTTAAATAGTTAACCAATAGCTACCCGGATTAACTATTTAGCAGTCTTTTGGCTTGGGGGTAGAAGCTGTTCAGGGTCCTGTTGGTTCCAGACTTGGTGCATCAGTACCGCTTGCTGTGTGGTAACAGAGAGAACAGTCTATGACTTGGATGGCTGGAGTCTTTGACAATTTTTAGGGCCATCCTCTGACACCGCCTGGTATGGAGGTCCTGGATGGCAGGAAGCTTAGCCCCCGTGATGTACTGGGCTGTACGCACTACCCTCTGTAGTGCCTTGCGGTCGGAGGCCGAGCAGTTGCCATACCAGGCGGTGATGCAACCAGTCAGGATGCTCTCGATGGTGCAGCTGTAGAACTTTGAGGATCTGAGGACCCATGCCAAATCTTTTCAGTCTCCTGAGGGGGAATAGGCTTTGTCGTGCCCTCTTCACGACTGTCTTGGTGTGTTTGGACCATGATAGTTCGTTGGTGATGTGGACACCAAGGAACTTGAAGCTCTCAACCTGTTCCACTACAGCCCCGTCGATGAGAATGGGGGTGTGCTCAGTCCTCTTTTTTTCCCCTGTAGTCCACAATCATCTCCTTTGTCTTGATCACGTTGAGGGAGAGGTTGTTATCCTGGCACCACACAGCCAGGTCTCGGACCTCCTCCCTATAGGCTGTCTCATCGTTGACGGTGATCAGGCCTACCACTGTTGTGTCGTCAGCAAACGTAATGATGGTGTTGGAGTCGTGCCTGGCCATGCAGTCATGGGTGAACAGGGAGTACAGGAGGGGACTGAGCATGCACCCCTGAGGGGCCCCCGTGTTGAAGGTCAGTGTGGCGGATGTGTTGTTGCCTACCCTCACCACCTGGGGACGTCCCGTTAGGAAGTCCAGGATCCAGTTGCAAAGGGAGGTGTTTAATCCCAGGGTCCTTAGCTTAGTGATGAGCTTTGAGGGCACTATGGTGTTGAACGCTGAGCTGTAGTCAATGAACAGCATTTTCACGTAGGTGTTCCTTTTGTCCAGGTGGGAAAGGGCAGTGTGGAGCGCAATAGAGATTGCGGCATTTGTGGATTTGTTGGGGCGGTATGCGAATTGGAGTGGGTCCAGGGTGTCTGGGATGATGGCGTTGATGTGAGCCATGACCAGCCTTTCAAAGCATTTCATTGCTACAGATGGGAGTGCAACGGGGCGATTAGTCATTTAGACAGGTTACTTTTGCATTCTTGGGCACAGGGACTATGGTGGTCTGCTTGAAACTGTCGTAGAAAATTATCACTATACTTATTAAAAATCAAAGTTCTTCCAGAGTTTTTGTAGAATCAAGATAGACTTTATTACACAAAGCAACAGAGCCGAGCTGGTCTGCAGAGCAACTAACTCCCAACACTCTGCCCTCAGTTTATATACAATTCTATTCCTGCTCATTTTACATACTTTTTAGCTTAAACCCTCCCAGCTTAGTTCCTCCACCATTGTCTCCAAGCTTCCATCTTTTGACCGCTCTGCCCACTCTCTTTATTTATGATAGTGGCGAAATCTGACTTCTCCTCCTCCTATATATTCAGTTTGAAAACAATAGTGGACAAACCAAGCTTTCTCATGTAAAAAATAACAGCCATCTCCTGGCTCTGCTCTGTTTATTCTAAAACATATCAATTGATACTTAAACATGGTTTAAACATGGCAGGTCCATAACCCATTCTCAACCATATACATTTAAGACATTCCTCATGCATAACAGTATAATCAATTCTCAGACATGTACCGTTCTCATGCACAATGTATATTTCCCACACATACAGTGGGGAGAACAATTATTTGATACACTGCCGATTTTTCAGGTTTTCCTACTTACAAAGCATGTAGAGGTCTGTAATTTTTATCATAGGTACACTTCAACTGTGAGAGACGGAATGGAATCTAAAACAAAAATCCAGAAAATCACATTGTATGATTTTTAAATAATTAATTTGCATTTTATTGCATGACATAAGTATTTCATACATCAGAAAAGCAGAACTTAATATTTGGTACAGAAACCTTTGATTGCAATTACAGAGATCATACGTTTCCTGTAGTTCTTGACCAGGTTTGCACACACTGCAGCAGGGATTTTGGCCCACTCCTCCATACAGACCTTCTCCATATCCTTCAGGTTTCGGGGCTGTCGCTGGGCAATACGGACTTTCAGCTCCCTCCAAAGATTTTCTATTGGGTTCAGGTCTGGAGACTGGCTAGGCCACTCCAGGACCTTGAGATGCTTCTTACGGAGCCACTCCTTAGTTGCCCTGGCTGTGTGTTTCGGGTCGTTGTCATGCTGGAAGACCCAGCCACAACCCATCTTCAATGCTCTTACTGAGGGAAGGAGGTTGTTGGCCAAGATCTCGCGATACATGGCCCCATCCATCCTCCCCTCAATACGGTGCAGTCGTCCTGTCCCCTTTGCAGAAAAGCATCCCCAAAGAATGATGTTTCCACCTCCATGCTTCACGGTTGGGATGGTGTTCTTGGGGTTGTACTCATCCTTCTTCTTCCTCCAAGCTCTATTTTTGTCTCATCAGACCACATGACTTTCTCCCATTCCTCCTCTGGATCATCCAGATGGTCATTGGCAAACTTCAGACGGGCCTGGACATGCGCTGGCTTGAGCAGGGGGACCTTGCATGCGCTGCAGGATTTTAATCCATGACGGCGTAGTGTGTTACTAATGGTTTTCTTTGAGACTGTGGTCCCAGCTCTCTTCAGGTCATTGACCAGGTCCTGCCGTGTAGTTCTGGGCTGATCCCTCACCTTCCTCATGATCATTGATGCCCCACGAGGTGAGATCTTGCATGGAGCCCCAGACCGAGGGTGATTGCCCGTCATCTTGAACTTCTTCCATTTTCTAATAATTGCGCCAACAGTTGTTGCCTTCTCACCAAGCTGCTTGCCTATTGTCCTGTAGCCCATCCCAGCCTTGTGCAGGTCTACAATTTTATCCCTGAAGTCCTTACACAGCTCTCTGGTCTTGGCCATTGTGGAGAGGTTGGAGTCTGTTTGATTGAGTGTGTGGACAGGTGTCTTTTATACAGGTAACAAGTTCAAACAGGTGCAGTTAATACAGGTAATGAGTGGAGAACAGGAGGGCTTCTTAAAAAAACTAACAGGTCTGTGAGATTCTTACTGGTTGGTAGGTGATCAAATACTTATGTCATGCAATAGAATGCAAATTAATTACTTAAAAATCATACAAATGTGATTTTCTGGATTTTTGTTTTAGATTCCGTCTCTCACATTTGAAGTGTACCTATGATAAAAATTACAGACCTCTACATGCTTTTTATGTAGGAAAACCTGCAAAATCGGCAGTGTATCAAATCCTTGTTCTCCCCACTGTAGTAAGAATAAGCAGGCCCATTCCCAAAAGCCATATCCTGACTCTGGCTCAGGCTCCCTCCCTGTCTACCACTCTGTACCACACTCCGTATCACTCTGTATTCACTTAGTCGTACTGTTTGTCTTTGTGATTAACTATGTTTTAATCTTTATAGATGTATCTATGTTTAACTGAAAAATGTGCTTAATTTATAGTCTGCTTGAAAAATTGAAAAGATTTACCATGTTTAATATATAGTTACTGAAAAATATCCCATAAAACATGTATTACAGACTGGGCCAGGGAGAGTGTGTAAATGTCAGTGAAGACACTTTCCAGTTGGTCAGCGCGTGCTCTGAGTACGCGTCCTGGTAATCCATCTGGCCCTGCGGCCTTGTGAATGTTAACCTGTTTAAAGGTCTTTCTCACATCGGCTATGGAGAGCGTGATCACACAGTCATCCGGAACAGCTGGTGCTCTCATGCATGGTCCAGTGTTGCTAACCTCGAAGCCTCAACTCAGCAAATTGGATGTAGTCTGTTACAGTGCCATCCATTTTGTCACCAAAGCCCCATACAGTGAGGGAAAAAAGTATTTGATCCCCTGCTGAATTTGTAAGTTTGCCCACTGACAAAGAAATGATCAGTCTATAATTTTAATGGTAGGTTTATTTGAACAGTGAGAGACAGAATAACAAAAAAATCCAGACAAACACATGTCAAAAATGTTATAAATTGATTTGCATTTTAATGAGGGAAATAAGTATTTGACCCCCTCTCAATCAGAAAGATTTCTGGCTCCCAGGTGTCTTTTATACAGGTAACGAGCTGAGATTAGGAGCACACTCTTAAAGGGAGTGCTCCTAATCTCAGATTGGTTACCTGTATAAAAGACACCTGTCCACAGAAGCAATCAATCAATCAGATTCCAAACTCTCCACCATGGCCAAGACCAAAGAGCACTCCAAGGATGTCAGGTTACAAGATTGTAGACCTACACAAGGCTGGAATGGGCTACAAGACCATCGCCAAGCAGCTTGGTGAGAAGGTGACAACAGTTGGTGCGATTATTCGCAAATGGAAGAAACACAAAAGAACTATCAATCTCCCTCGGCCTGGGGCTCCATGCAAGATCTCACCTCGTGGAGTTGCAATGATCATGAGAACGGTGAGGAATCAGCCCAGAACTACACGGGAGGATCTTGTCAATGATCTCAAGGCAGCTGGGACCATAGTCACCAATAAAACAATTAGTAACACACTATGCCGTGAAGGACTGAAATCCTGCAGCGCCCGCAAGGTCCCCCTGCTCAAGAAAGCACATATGCATGCCCGTCTGAAGTGTGCCAATGAACATCTGAATGATTCAGAGGAGAACTGGGTGAAAGTGTTGTGGTCAGATGAGACCAAAATCGAGCTCTTTGGCATCAACTCAACTCGCCGTTTTTGGAGGAGGAAGAATGCTGCCTATGACCCCAAGAACACCATCCCCACCGTCAAACATGGAGGTGGAAACATTATGCTTTGGGGGTGTTTTTCTGCTAAGGGGACAGGACAACTTCACCGCATCAAAGGGACGATGGACGGGGCCATGTACCGTCAAATCTTGGGTGAGAACCTCCTTCCCTCAGCCAGGGCATTGAAAATGGGTCGTGGATGGGTATTCCAGCATGACAATGACCCAAAACACACGGCCAAGGCAACAAAGGAGTGGCTCAAGAAGAAGCACATTAAGGTCCTGGAGTGGCCTAGCCAGTCTCCAGACCTTAATCCCATAGAAAATCTGTGGAGGGAGTATGGTAATATTGTATGTATCATTAAGGAAAATGTTGGGAAATGTCAAAGATAAAATAGTAAACATGACTTACATAATATAAGTCCAGATGCATGTCTAAATAAGGAATATATTCAATACAATGTGTAAACATGCTTTAATGGATAAGAGGAAGAGGACATATGGAAAAGCGCCCAAGGCCTTTTGGAGTAAACAACATGTGTTATTGGACTTTCAAAGATAATAGTGGCGTGGCAGTTAAAGATGTTAATCAGTGATCTTAAGGGGAGTAGCTTTGTAAGCTATGTATACATGACTGTGCATTTGTGTGTGTATATAATAATAATAATATGCCATTTAGCAGACGCTTTTATCCAAAGCGACTTACAGTCATGCGTGCATAAATTTTTGTGTATGGGTGGTCCCGGGGATCGAACCCACTACCTTGGCGTTACAAGCGCCGTGCTCTACCAGCTGAGCTACAGAGGACCTCTAAGAGATCTCTAAGCCAAAGAGAGACAGCCGTTCCATGGAGTGGCTCGGCTTTGTTACACAATAATAAAGTCTAATTTCTGGATTCACAAGCTCCAGTCTCTTGAGAGATATTTTTGAGTTGACTATTTTTTTGTCAAATATTTCTACGACAGGAGCTGAAGGTTCGAGTTGCCAAACGTCAGGCCTCGAAACCTTAATGACTTGGAGAAGATCTGCAAAGAGGAGTGGGACAAAATCCCTCCTGAGATGTGTGCAAACCTGGTAGCCAACTACAAGAAATGTCTGACTTGTGATTGCCAACAAGGGTTTTGCCACCAAGTACTAAGTCATGTTTTGCAGAGGGGTCAAATACTTATTTCCCTCATTAAAATACTAATCAATTTATAACATTTTTGACATGCGTTTTTCTGGATTTTTTTGTTGTTATTCTGTCTCTCACTGTTCAAATAAACCTACCATTAAAATTATAGACTGATCATGTCTTTGTCAGTGGGCAAACGTACAAAATCAGCAGGGGATCAAATACTTTTTCCCCTCACTGTATACTACCCACCATTGTGACCTGTACGCTCTCGTTGGCTGGCCCTCACTACATATTCGTCGCCAAACCCACTGGCTCCAGGTCATCTATAAATCACTTCTAGGCAAATTCCCGCCTTATCTTAGCTCATTGGTCACCATAGCAACACCCACCCGTAGTATGCGCTCCAGCAGGTATCTCTCACTGGTCATCCCCAAAGCCAACACCTCCTTTGGCCGCCATTCCTTCCAGTTCTCTGCTGCAAATGACTGGAACGAACTACAAAAATCTCTGAAGCTGGAGATACTTATCTCCCTCATTAATTTTAAGCATCAGTTGTCAGAGCAGCTTACCGATCACTGCACCTGTACACAGCCCATCTGTAATTAGCCCAACCAACTACCTCATCCCCATAGTTATTTACATTGTTATTTATTTTGCTCATTTGCACCCCAGTATCTCTATTTGCACATCTATCACTCCAGTGTTAATACTAAATTGTAATTATTTTGCACTATGGCCTATTTATTGCCTTACCTCCATAACTTACTACATTTGCACACACTGTATATAGATTTTCTATGTTATTGACTGTACGTTTTGTTTATTCCATATGTAACTCTGTGTTGTTTTTATCACACTGCTTTGCTTTATCTTGGCCAGGTTGCAGTTGTAAATGAGAACTTGTTCTCAACTGGCTTAACTGGTTAATTAAAGGTGAAATAAAATAATACAATAAAATAGAAGGTATTTAGCTCGTATGGTAGGCTCGCAACACTGGACAGCTCGCGGCTGGGTTTCTCTTTGTAATCCATGATAGTTTGCAAGCCCTGCCACATCCGACGAGCATCAGAGCCGGTGTAGTAGGATTTTATCTTGGTCCCGTATTGACGCTTTGCCTGTTTGATGGGCTCTGTGTGTGTGGAGTAAAGGTGATCTAGAGTTCTCGCCTCTAGTTGCACAGGTGACATGCTAGTAGAAATGAGGTCAAACGGATGTACGTTTTCCTGCATTAAAGTCACCGGCCACTTGGAGCATGTTCTTATTTATGGCCCTATACAGCTCATTGAGTGCGGTCTTAGTGCCAGCATTGGTTTGGGGTGGTAAATAGACAGCGATGAAAAATATAAATGAAAACTCTTGGTAAATAGTATGTTCTACAGCTTATCACGAGGTATTCTAACTCAGGCGAGCAGAACCTCGAGACTTCCTTAATATTAGAGATTGCACACCAACTGTTGTTAACAAAGAGAGACACACCCCCTCTCCCCTGAGCTTCCTCTTCAATACAATGTATGTAGTCCTATACAGCTGCTACAGCCACAGATACTGTGTGAATGTACTTGATAGAGGTGTGCTATCAACAGAAAAGCAAACGGTAGTTAACTATCTTGAAAGAAGGATAGCAGAGATGTTCAGATCTTACGTGTGTTTGTCTTTGAGGGTCCAGCGCGTGTCTTTTCGCTCGTACATCACGATGGGAGGCACCCTGTAGTCAGGAGACATCTTTCCACTATCAATCTGACAAGGCACATAGGTCACAGTTAGAGAGAAGGGGATGCAGACACACACATCTGAAAGATTTACCAAAAAGCTGCTGCATTGTGAGCTTGTACACACACACACACACAAAAAGGAAGTTACAGACAATAAAATAGTCCCGTGTAGCTCAGTTGGTAGAACATGGCGTTTACAACGCCAGGGTTGTGGGTTCGTTTCCAACGGGGGACCAGTATGAAAAAAACAAAAACATGTATGCACTCACTAACTGTAAGTCGCTCTGGATAAGAGCATCTGCTAAATGACTAAAAAATAACAAAAAATAGACCACAGTGGATGCTTACCATTAACAAAACTGCATTGTTACACTGCTCGGCTATCTTGTCTGCAATCTTCAATGCACATGGCGTAGGGCTACCCAGCGAAGGGGAGAGAGAGAGAAGGAATGGTTAGTTTTTAACACAGGTGATAATGGTTAGTGGTTAGTTTAACACAGGTGATAATGGTTAGTGGTTAGTTTAACACAGGTGATAATGGTTAGTGGTTAGTTTAACACAGGTGATAATGATTAGTGGTTAGTTTAACACAGGTGATAATGGTTAGTGGTTAGTTTAACACGGGTGATAATGGTTAGTGGTTAGTTTAACACAGGTGATAATGGTTAGTGGTTAAATTAACACAGGTGATAGTGGTTAAATTAACACAGGTGATAGTGGTTAGATGAACACAGGTGGTAGTGGTTAGATGAACACAGGTGATGGTGGTTAGATTAACACAGGTGATAGTGGTTAGTTTAACACAGGTGATAGTGGTTAGATGAACACAGGTGATAGTGGTTAGATGAACACAGGTGATATGCACGTGATAAGTAGGCTAACGGGCCACTGAAACCATGTGATAGAGAAATTAACATCTAGAGTCAATGGTGATGCTGGACCACTATGGGACACACCTGCTGTCTGACACACAGGCGTTGGCTTGGTAGTATCCTACAATCCTCTGCTGTGTCTGTGCACACCATACATCCACCTGAAGCAAAGAAGGTATGATACATTATAGCACATAAATACATGACAAGCCAAAAGACTGAACCACAATCTACATGCACCACTGCCAGGTAAGGATGATTGTGTTTGATAATTTTTGACATACTGTATGTTGGACAGCAAAGACCACAGATTATTAGATGGTTACCTGTGTGAGAGCCAGCTGGGTGATGGGAGCCAAAGGTAGGTGAGAGTGAAGCAAGGGAACGCAGTCTGTCACACACACAGCGCCACCTGCTGGGCTGGACGACAACAGCAGCCCATTGACACTGCACCGTGGAAACAAACAAGCGTGCAGGTACATCTTCACATAGGCGAGACAGGACAACTCAACCTCCCCCATGGCTGTTGACAGAAAAGGGTGCACAGATCTGAGAACATGCAGCAAAACAGCTAGCCAAAAACACAAGCGAGGGCTTGATTTAAGCAAATGACATGAATGCTGACAGATTTGTGGGAAATTATTCTCTTATATTTTAGATGTGCTGTTAGCTTAATAAGAAAGCATTAATGATTAAACATAATAGGTTTGTACTGTACTGATATAAATTGGTCAACATAATAAGCTGTGATTAATGTGAGGAACTGTTAGGGAGTAGGGTGAGATAAGGCTTGTGACTCACTTACACGAACACTGCCTCTTTGTTGAACTGTCCAAGGACATATGTACAAAGAGTACAGTTAGAGTGGGAAAGTACTGAAATCTCAGGAACAGGAAACTGTGTCTATGGGTGCTGACTATTGAGACAAGCTGCAGAAAGCAACTAACGCCTGACAACAGTGGAGCGCCAAGGGTCTGGGACCAGCCTGTGCGCCAACGATAGGCTGAGTAAGTCTAAACCACGCTCAGTCTCTACTCTGATAGTTCCCGCTCCCTGCTGGCCTATCTCTGTCAGACTATTTAAAGAAGAACTTATAACAATGGACCAGTTCTCTGACTGCCCTGCGTGGTTTTTCAGTGGACCCGTATATACGAACATCACATTTACCATTGAAGTGTTTTGCATTAATTAAAATACTAGTCTATTTTAGAAGACGTGTATTGACCTCTTTTTGTTCCAATACCAGATTTGAATTGACGCAACTTAACAGATTGGAATAAATAATCAGGTTTAGTTAACTAGCTAGCTAATAAATCCTTGCATTGCAAACTCGGTGGATGACACAAAAGGACCCTTTTTATTGCACTAATAAATCCAACTAATATTGTTAGTGCCAGGGAGGGATGCCCAAGCAGTTAGATCAAAAGCCACACAACAAGCCATTGTTTTGGACATTGATTGACTGCTCTAGCTAGCTAGCTAGCTAGCTGAAAAGGTAGCCAGCTTGTCCCCCCCCCTTTGTTAAAGAAGAATGGTAGAAAGTGAAAGCAGAGTGAGCTGTACACCGGATCAAAGACAGGAGAAATGGAAGTGAGTGAGGGCAGAGTATCAGAGGGGGTAGGTGTGGTGAAGTTATCGGAGGCCGAGGCTTCCATAGTCAGTGAAGGTAACCAGAGGTCTGGTGATAATTGTTTATTTCTGCTGGTCAGAGGGAGCAGGCGCTCTGCATTAAACGAATGGGGTCAAGGGATGTGAATTGTTTCGCTCTCAAGAAAAGGGCGCCATTGAAAGGAGTGATTACTGGGGCGTGAGTGGTGAAACAGAAGAGCCGCCTGTTCTCTAGAGTTTTGATGTTGAGTCTTTGCCCGACAAAGTCATGTTAGGATATGTAAGTTATCCTGTACGAGCTTTTGTGCCGAATACATTACGTTGTTACAAGGTGTCAAGCTTATGGGCATGTGGCAGCAGTGTGTAGGAGGGAGGTTCCTAGGAAGTGAGAAGTGTACAGAAGGGCATAAGACAAAGGAATGTGTAGCATTGGGGAAAGTAGTGGTATGTGTTAATTGTAGGGGTGCCCATGGGGCTGGGGGATCAGAAGTGTCCGGTGCTATAGAGGCAGGTTGATGTTTCCAGAGTTAGAGTGGCGCAGAAGTTGTCATATGCTGAGGCAGTGAAGAAAGTAGAGGAATATGGGTCAAAGAGGGAGGGATCCTAAGAGGAGTGGTGTGAGTAGTAGATCTGTACCAGTACAGAGGTATAGGCCAACAAGTGATTTATGCTTAAGTAAGATTGGATGTTTAGCTATGGTTATCAACTGTATTGCAGGGATGGAACATAAGTCGTAGAAAATTGAGGTTCTGGTGGCAGCTGCAGAGAGGTATTTTCTCGAAATCTGAACGCACAGTCCAGATTCTTGCCAATGTCTTAAAATAGTTGAACATGTTATCACTCCTACCTCGTGAAAGTGACAAACTGACCCGTTTTAATTTCAGTAAAAAACTACTAAATATCGAAGTAGTGGCTTTGATTCGACGGCCTGCACATTCGCTTAGCTAGCCAACGTTGCCATGACATCGCCTACAAGTGTGATCGAGGATTTCTATTGGAGAAGCAGTTTTAGCCTGTCTTAGTTAGTACTCAGCAAGCTAGCTTGTCAACATCGATGGTCAAAAGGCCTGCCTACGTAGCCAGTTATGGCCAATAGTAGTTCATCATTTTATTAAAAATAGATATGGGAAAGTCTAGCTATCTAGATTTTAATTTTAAATATGATAGCTAGCTAGGTGTTCATCACGAGCTAGCTAGTATAGCTAACAGTTGGCTATCCTAGCTAGCTAGCAACTTACCGTCAAAGGATATTATTTCCTGGGATGAGATTTCAGAAGTCCAGTAAAGCAAACGTCCGGATTCAAACTCAACTATCTAATACTGCATATTAATAAAGATAACAAATATTGAATATATGGATACTTTACAAACATTTGCACTGTGAAGCAGAAGCTGCATCATTTGATTGAGACAATTTCCTGTTCCGTGCCTGCCCACCTACAGCTGCATTTGGGATTGGTTACAAAAGCGACTGTCTAAAAGTCTACTGGCGTCTCTGTATGCCAATCATTTGTTACGAGATCCCATTCGTTCATGCAGTGACGGCGTCTCCTCCTGGTGGACAGAGTTTGGCATACCTTGTAACCCCATTATCATCCATTTTGACATGGTTTTTGAAAATTGTACAAAATATTCAGATGTAGTATAGCCTCCTCCCACATCTGTTTGTGCTGTCTTTGTGAACTCATAAACTCAGCAAAAAAAGAAACGTCCCTTTTTCAGGACCCTGTCTTTCAAAGATAATTAGTAAAAATCCAAATAACTTCACAGATCTTCATTGTAAAGGGTTTAAACACCGTTTCCCATGCTTGTTCAATGAACCATAAACAATTAATGAACATGCACCTGTGGAACGGTCGTTAAGACACTAACAGCTTACAGACAGTAGGCAATTAAGGTCACAGTTATGAAAACTTAGGACACTAAAGAGGCCTTTCTACTGACTCTGAAAAACACAAAAAGAAAGATGCCCAGGGTCCCTGCTAATCTGCGTGAATGTGCCTTAGGAATGCTGCAAGGAGGCATGAGGACTGCAGATGTGGCCAGGGAAATAAATTGCAATGTCCGTACTGTAAGACGCCTAAGACAGCGCTACAGGGAGACCGGACGGACAGCTGATCGTCCTCGCAGTGGCAGACCACGTGTAACAACACCTGCACAGGATCGGGACATTCCAAACATCACACCTGTGGGACAGGTACAGGATGGCAACAACTGCCCGAGTTACACCAGGAACACACAATCCCTCCATCAGTGCTCAGACTGTCCGCAATAGGCTGAGAGAGGCTGGACTGAGGGCTTGTAGGCCTGTTGTAAGGCAGGTCCTCACCAGACATCACCGGCAACAACGTTGCCTATGGGCACAAACCCACCGTCGCTGGACCAGACAGAACTGGCAAAAAGTGCTCTTCACTGACGAGTCACGGTTTTGCCTCACCAGGGGTGATAGTCGGATTCGCGTTTATCGTCAAAGGCATGAGCGTTACACCGAGGCCTGTACTCTGGAGCGGGATCGAGGTGGAGGGTCCGTCATGGTCTGGGACGGTGTGTCATAGCATCATCGGACTGATCTTGTTGTCATTGCAGGCAATCTCAACGCTGTGCGTTACAGGGAAGAATTCCTCCTCCCTCATGTGGTACCCTTCCTGCAGGCTCATCCTGACATGACCCTTCAGCATGACAATGCCATCAGCCATACTGCTCGTTCTGTGCGTGACTTCCTGCAAGACAGGAATGTCGGTGTTCTGCCATGGCCAGCGACAAGCCCGGATCGCAATCCCATTGAGCATGTCTGGGACCTGTTGGATCGGAGGGTTAGGGCTAGGGCCATTCCCCCCCCAGAAATGTCCGGGAACTTGCAGGTGCCTTGGTGGAAGAGTGGGGTAACATCTCACAGCAAGAACTGGCAAATCTGGTGCAGTCCATGAGGAGGAGATGCACTGCAGTACATAATGCAGCTGGTGGCCACACCAGATACTGACTGTTCCTTGATTTGGACCCCCCCTTTGTTCAGGGACACATTATTCAATTTCTGTTAGTCACATGTCTGTGGAACTTGTTCAGTTTATGTCTCAGTTGTTAAATCTTGTTATGTTCATACAAATATTTACACATGTTAAGTTTGCTGAAAATAAATGCAGTTGACAGTGAGAGGACGTTTCTTTTTTTTGCTCACTTTAGTAGGTGACATTGCCATAAACATTGCCAGAGCATACTTTCAGCTTCCCACACTGGCATGGTGCACAGACAAGGCATGAGCAAACCAAGACATAGAAATTACAATTTTATTTATATTTTTACAATTTATGATAATCAACATTGGTTATTAAAAATACTGTAACTACATTGACTATTCATCGTACACACAGTAGTTCACAGTACCCTTTTCAACGCAACATCCATTGCACTCCCTCTGGTATACAATAAAAGCACACCTCTGACAACTATTTACTGATATTAGTACCATAATGTTGCTGTATGTCCTGTAAAACCCTCAACTGACGATCAGTTATAGTCATGAACTGAAAATTACTAAAACTAACATTATCATATGTACACTGTGCAGATGCTGCCTGACCAACAATTAGCTCAAACAGAACAGCATGCCAGGTACCATGCAAAACAGTTCCTTAACACATTACTCCCCTTTTAAATGTCAAGTCTAGGACACTAGAGGGGAGAGAGTCGAACAGGTGGTGTGTTGGTAACACACTGGCACTCTTTCAGTTGGATATTTTCACCATCTCTCATCCAGTTTCTGAGGAAAAGGGGTGGGGTTTTGTTACAGACCAGACCGGGAAAAGGGGTGGGGTTTTGTTACAGACCGGACCGGGAAGAGGGGTGGGGTTTTGTTACGGACCGGACCGGGAAGAGGGGTGGGGTTTTGTTACGGACTGGACCGGGAAGAGGGGTGGGGGTTTGTTATGGACTGGAGTGGGAAGAGGAGAGGTGAAGGCGAGTGGGGTTATGAGAACTCCTCTGTGAACCACTTATGAAACTCCCTGATCTTTTCCAACACAACCTTCAGCTTTTCAGTTGCAGGTAAGATGGTCATCCTACACAGAGAAAAAAAAGAGAGTGATAGAGAAGAAAAGTGTTTTCTTAGCATGAACATCACCAGGGGCAGGGAATACTGGCTTAGACAATGTAGAGTAACAGTGGACAGGTGATAGCCTGGGTACCAGTCTGTTTAGCTATCATTCTACTCCTTGTCATGCAAAACATTTTTGACATGACAAGGAGTGGAATGATAGCTAAACAGACTGGTACCCAGGCTAGACAGGTGACCGGTCTAACCTGAAATGGTAGGTTCCATCTCTCTGTCCGAAGCCACTCCCTGGAACCAGGCAGATCCCAGTCTCCTCCAGCAGCTTCATACAGTAGAACATATCTGGAGCCTGGCCTTTCTCCTACACACAGAGATAAAGAAGGTGGAGTCAGCATATGGGCTGAATAACAACAACACAGAAGAGATTGGAATAGGAAGAATCAGACAGCTGAGAAGAGCATCAGAAAAAGGAAAGGAAAGGAGAGAGAAATTAAAAGAGTGGGAGGGAAAGAGAGAGACCGACCTTTGCCGCGTTGATGGCTTTCTCTGGCAGTGAGAGGCGGGGGAAGGTGTACATGGCTCCCTGGACAGGGTTGCAGTGGATCCCTGGGACCGTGTTGAGGACCTGCTCTGTCATCTTGGCCTTCTCAGCCAGGATATCCAGGTTGGCAGTACGCTCCTGTTAAGAGGTCAGGATAATACTAACAAATTGTGACACAAAGTACATACATTTTTTACTGAACAGCACCTGTTACGCTGTAATAATATTGTGACATTTAGGGCTGAATCCTAACTTGACATCCACGTCATGTGTATGCTGACCTTGATGAAGGTGGCGTAGGAAGGCTCGTCAGGCTGAGGGGGATTGACCACCAGGTCCAGGAGGGCCTGCCCAGGGATGGGGGGGCACAGCCGCACAGACACCAGCTTAGTCAGCTGCAACTTCACCTCAGGGTCCATATTAACCACCTCCATGTAGCCACCTCTGAAACCACACCTGTATGACAGGACCACACACACACATCATCATATGGTACAGTAACTGTTACTTGCAGACAACACTAGCATACTTCATTCACATACTATACGTGTCGAGTTTGTTTTTCTAAAAGAGCCAAGTTATGGGGTCAGTCACCATCTGTGAGAATATGTGGGTGTGTAGCTACAGACTTACTCTCCCATGAAGCATTTGGAGGTGGAGTGGAAGGAGACCAGCTCTACAACACTGGAGTACTTTGGTCCCATCTCAAACAGAACCTTCTTAAAGGAGTGGAACTTGCAACCCTCTGCGTACACATTATCCTGGTACACCTGGCAGACACAGAGTGAGGGAGTGATACGTATTGAATATCGTGTCTAGAAGAAACACCTTAGAGAAGGGGTAGAAAGGGTAAGATCAGGGAGAAGAGATCGTATTATTACGACATTACCTCATCAGCCATCAGGAAAAGGTGTTCTTCAGCAGCAAATCTGATCACATCTTCAATGCACTGCCTAGTCTGGACCTGACCTATCACAGTGAAGGGTGACGAGTCCACTAATCAGAACAGAGATGGTCTAAAAACAAGAGACTCAGATCCCTGATGGTAGTGGCTTGGAATATAAACTTGTGTGCACATACCTGTGGGGTTGCCAGGGTTGATAATGCAGAGGACTCTGGGGTTACAGTGCTCCCTGGCTGCCTCGACAGCCCTCCTCAGCTCACAGACGTCCAGGCTCCAGCACTTGTCCTCGTCCAGGTAGTAGCTGACCTGGACAGCCGCCAGCTCAGCCAGAGCAGCAGAGTAGAGGGGGTACTGAGGGATGGAGATCATCACCCCTGTACGGTTCTTCCCCTCACCTGACGTCAACAACTTTAGCATGGTCTATGGAGAGAGAAGATGTGAGGGAGGTAGAGAGGACGGAAGGGGAGAGTCATGCGCTGTTAGATCCAATTCAACATTGAGAGATGTACTGTATATACAGTAAGTAGTTAAGAGTTGGTTGTAATCAGCATTTTAGTCACACCAGCACAAGTCAAGAACTCAGTACTACAGCCATCAGTCTTACCACTATGGCATCACTGGCCCCGGTGGAGAGGTAGATGTTGTCAGGGTTACTGGGGATTCCACCATCCCGCTTCTCAATGTATTTAGCCACATCCTGTCGTATGATCTCAATGCCTGGACTAGCACTGTATGCACCTGAAATAGATACAAAGTTCAATGGATATTTATCAAATGTTGTTTATTTTATTTATTTTTACACACTTCCTGCCTACGGTACGAGCGTTATTTCACCTATACTTCCCCCTCCACAGGCCTGAAGGATGCGCCGTGCTCTGTTTTTAGCGTCCTCTGGAAACTTGTCGTCTTCTAGGAGATCCGGGTAGGCGCACAGCGCTACAACCTGACGGGAACAAAGAATGTATAGTAAATAGTAATCTATAATAATAATTGGACACTTCGATATAAAATGCACCACAGCTTTAGAACAACAATTAACAGACCTGTCGGAGAAATGTGATTGGTTTCTGGCCCATGGCATGCGCATCACCAATGTTGGCCTTGATGACCTCTGTGAAGGGCTTCTTAACTCCCTGCAGAAACAGAGTTGCAGTTATTACACATATGATTATCGTGATAATTAAACAGTCACATTTAGTGCATGACAATCCCCAATAGTAAAACTTACGTGCCAACCTCTATGAGTATGACAACTCTAAACTTGGTTTAAAATCCATGCCTATTCAACCATTGGACTTTGTGTCATCCCGGAAGCAAACAGGATGTTAAAGAGGGACTGGAGACAGCTGTGATACTCCCACTGTGTGTAGACTGGGGAGGAGAGGAGATATCAACAATTGGGCTGTGGCTGTGCCGACACCGCTCGCCCCCTCATTCTGTCCCTGCTCAAGCACACTCCATATCCCTCTCCAGTTCTTATAAAACATCATTTCATTCAAACTCATGATACTGGGAAAAAAACAAATGCTTAGAACAGGGAACATTTAATTTGCAATGCAAAGGCTTGATAAACAACATTCAGGCTTGGAGCCTATACAAGAAACCAGAGGGACAAGACCTAGATAGTGGAAACAGTGTAACACGACAATGACAACATGTTATTTTGTGTAGCCTGGTAGATGAGGTAGGCCTATTAGTTATAGAAGAGTGTAATGTGATAAATCCCTGACTACACCCCCCTATGTTTTTACTGTACAGCACCTGGATTAGTGGGATTTAACTTTCGTAGTCCCCTGAGGTGTCATCTAGGATACACAGTACAAAACATAATAGTAACAGTTAAAAGAAAGCCTATGTGATGTCTATGCTGCATTTCCAGTCGGAGTGCTCCGACTTCACATCAGTGATCTAAAGGTATGGAAATGCATCCTGGGCTATACTGTATTCGGATATTCGGCCAGTCTGCACAGCGCGTTATCGACCCAGAACATATCAGTTTTTCCGCCGGAATCACTGAATCACTGGACCTTTAACTCCGGATTCATCGCTACCAGCTAGCTACAACAAAACGGACGCTGTGGTCTGGCTAATCATCCTGAGCTAGGCCCATCTCCCGGCTATCTACCTCTCTGTCAACCGGACGGGACCACCTAGTGTTGACACGGAGCCCCGCCGATCCTACACGACTGGTCTGCCGACGAAATCGTCTGATGTGGTTACGACGTTAACCACAAAGATTCCATCTGCTAGGCCCGGCCCGCTAGCACACGCTAGCCGTGGCCTCTTACTCACTAGTGCTTTACCACCGGACCTTATGATAACTCAGCTATACAGCTGATGTCTGCTGGACTGTTCCTTTTTACGGTACTACATCCTGTTTATGTTTAGCCTCAGCCCAAACATGGTTAGTTTATTGTTGTTTCGGTTATTTCTAATTGTACTATTTCACTGTAGACCCCCCAGCATAGCTAAACCTGCCTTAGTTAGCTCCTTTGTCCCTCCCCCTATACACGCGGAGACCGACTCAATTGATGCCTCCAGCGATGCTATCTCTTTCATTGTTACCCAACGCTTAGGTTTACCTCCACTTTACTCATATCCTTCCATATCCTTGTCTGTACATAATGCCCTGAATCTTTTCTATAACACCCGGAAATCTGCCCCCTTTATTCTATGTACCCAACGCACTAGAAGACCAGTTCTTAAAGCCTTTAGCCGTATCCTTATTCTACTCCTCCTCTGTTCCTCTGGTGATGTAGAGGCTAACCCAGGCCCTGCAGCCCTCAGTATCACTCCTACTCCCCAGGCGCTATCATTTGCTGACTTCTGTAATCGCAAAAGTCTTGGTTTCTTGCACATAAATATCAGAAGTCTACTTCCTAAGTTTGAGTTATTCACTGCGTTAGCACACTCTGCCAACCCTGATGTTCTAGCAGTGTCTGAATCCTGGCTCAGGAAGGCCACCAAAAATTCTGAAATTTCCATCCCCAACTATAACATTTTCCGTCTAGATAGAACTGCCAAAGGGGGTGGAGTTGCAATCTACTGTAGAGATAGCCTGCAGAGCTCTATCATACTATCCAGGTCTGTGCCCAAACAGTTTGAGCTTCTACTTCTAAAAATCCACCTTTCCAGAAATAAGTCTCTCACTGTTGCCGCTTGCTACAGACCCCCCTCAGCCCCCAGCTGTGCCCTGGACACCATATGTGAATTGATTGCCCCCCGATTTATCCTCTGAGTTTGTACTGCTTGGTGACCTAAATTGGGATATGCTTAATACCCCAGCCATCCTACAATCCAAGCTAGATGCCCTCAACCTCACGCAAATTATCAACGAACCTACCAGGTACAACCCTAAATCCGTAAACATGGGTACCCTCATAGATATCATCCTGACTAACTTACCCTCTAAATACACCTCAGCTGTCTTCAACCAGGATCTCAGCGATCACTGCCTTATTGCCTGCGTCCGTAACGGGTCCGCGGTCAAACGACCACCCCTCATCACTGTCAAACGCTCCCTAAAACACTTTAGCGAGCAGGCCTTCCTAATTGACCTGGCACAGGTATCCTGGATGGATATAGATCTCATTCAGTCAGTAGAGGATGCCTGGTTGTTCCTTAAAAGTAATTTCCTCTCAATCTTAAATAAACATGCCCCATTCAAAAAATACAGAACTAAGAACCGATATAGCCCCTGGTTCTCCTCAGACTTGACTGCCCTTGACCAGCACAAAAACATCCTGTGGCGTACAGTATTAGCATCAAATAGCCCCCGCGATATGCAACTTTTTAGGGAAGTTAGGAACCAATATACACAAGCAGTCAGGAAAGCAAAGGCTAACTTTTTCAAACAGAAATTTGCATCCTGTAGCACTAACTCCAAAAAGTTTTGGGACACTGTAAAGTCCATGGAGAATAAGAGCACTTCCTCCCAGCTGCCCACTGCACTGAGGCTAGGAAACACTATCACCACACTATCTACAATAATCGAGAATTTCAACAAGCATTTTGCTACAGCTGGCCATGCTTTCCATCTGGCTACCACTACCCCGGCCACCAACTCTGCACCCTCTGCTGCAACTTGCCCATGCCCCCCCCCCGCTTCTCCTTCACACAAATTCAGACAGCTGATGTTTTGAAAGCGCTGCAAAATCTGGACCCCTACAAATCAGCTGGGCTAGACAATCTGGATCCTTTCTTTCTAAAACTAGCCGCCGAAATTGTCGCAACCCCTATTACTAGTCTGTTCAACCTCTCTTTCATAACGTCTGAGATCCCCAGAGATTGGAAAGCTGCCGCGGTCATCCCCCTCTTCAAAGGGGGTGACACTCTAGATCCAAACTGCTACAGACCTATATCCATCCTGCCCTGCCTTTCGAAAGTATTTGAAAGCCAAGTTAACAAACAGATCACCGACCGTTTCGAATACCACCGTACCTTCTCCGCTATGCAATCCGGTTTCCGAGCTGGTCATGGGTGCACTTCAGCCACGCTCAAGGTCCTAAACGATATTATAACCGCGATTGATAATAGACAGTACTGTGCAGCCGTCTTCATCGACCTGGCCAAGGCTTTCGACTCTGTCAACCACCGCATTCTTATTGGCAGACTAAATAGCCTTGGTTTCTCAAATGACTGCCTCGCCTGGTTCACCAACTACTTCTCAGATAGAGTTCAGTGTGTCAAATCGGAGGGCCTGTTGTCTGGACCTATGGCAGTCTCTATGGGGGTGCCACAGGGTTCAATTCTTGGGCCGACACTTTTCTCCGTGTATATCAATGATGTCGCTCTTGCTGCTGGTGACTCTCAGATCCACCTCTACGCAGACGACACCATTTTGTATACATCTGGCCCTTCATTGGACACTGTGTTAACAAACCTCCAAACGAGCTTCAATGCCATACAACAATCCTTCAGTAGCCTCCAACTGCTCTTAAACACTAGTAAAACTAAATGCATGCTTTTCAATCGAACGCTGCTGGCACCCGCCCACCCGACTAGAATCACCACTCTCGACGGGTCTGACCTAGAGTATGTGGACAACTACAAATACCTAGGTGTCTGGTTAGACTGTAAACTCAACTTCCAGACTCACATAAAGAATCTCCAATCCAAAGTTAAATCTAGAATCGGCTTCCTATTTCGCAACAAAGCCTCCTTCACTCATGCTGCCAAACATGCCCTCGTAAAACTGACTATCCTACCGATCCTTGACTTCGGCGATGTCATTTACAAAATAGCCTCCAACACTCTACTCAGCAAATTGGATGTAGTCTATCACAGTGCCATCCGTTTTGTCTCCAAAGACCCATACACTACCCACCATTGTGACCTGTACGCTCTTGTTGGCTGGTCCTCACTACATGTTCGTCGTCAAACCCACTGGCTCCAGGCCATCTATAAATCACTGCTAGGCAAATCCCCGCCTTATCTTAGCTCATTGGTCACCATAGCAGCACCCACCCGTAGTCTGCGCTCCAGCAGGTATATCTCACTGGTCATTCCCAAAGCCAACACCTCCTTTGGCCGCCATTCCTTCCAGTTCTCTGCTGCCAATGACTGGAACGAATTGCAAAAATCTCTGAAGCTGGAGACTCTTATCTCCCTCAATAACTTTAAGCATCAGTTGTCAGAGCACCTTACCGATCACTGCACCTGTACACAGCCCATCTGAAATTAGCCCACCCAACTACCTCATCCCTATATTGTTATTTATTTTGCTCTTTTGCACCCCAGTATCTCTATTTGCACATAATCTCTTGCACATCTAGCATTCCAGTGTTAATACTATTGTAATTATTTTGCACTATAGCCTATTTATTGCCTTACCTCCATAACTTGCTACATTTGCACACACTGTATATATATTTTCTGTTGTATTTTTGACTTTATGTTTTTTACCCCATATGTAACTCTGTGTTGTTTTTATTGCACTGCTTTGCTTTATCTTGGCCAGGTCGCAGTTGTAAATGAGAACCTGTTCTCAACTGGCTTACCTGGTTAAATAAAGGTGAAATAAAAAAAATTAAAAAAAGATGACATTACTTTCCTTGTTGTGTAGCTAAACAGGCACTGTTTGTTCCCCCAACTGAAACCTAAACCCACAGGATACCTTCCTGCTTTCCTCCTGTAGGTCAATATCAGGGGGCATCTCATGATTTCTGCCAATCAAAATGGGAGGGAGAGAGAGACCCTGTTGTCTGCTGTGTTTATACTCCATTTTACAAACAGAGAGAGAAAAACACCAGAGCTGAATTCCACACAACCACAAGCCAAAACCACCAGTAAGAACCATTTAAAGGGGCAATCTGCGGCTACATAAATGTTTGGACTTGCCTCATGAGTTTAGTTCAACTGTCATACGCCATCAGAACCCAAAATATAAGCTTGTTTTACGCCAATGTTTGTAAAGAATGTAAATGTAAACAACCACTGTCTAGCCTCAACATGGTTAAATACTACTGTTGATATCATGGACGGTTAGTCTTTGCATCCATAGCTCTGTCTATAAATTTGAGAGTGGTTACATTTCTCCCAAACAGAGGCGGGGTGACCGGCCGCTTTGTTATCGTTTGACTTTTTGTTATTGATTGGCCCTTTAAATAACTTGAGTTCCACATCCAAAACACTTCTCAGGATTCTTAGAATGGGACACACGACACATGCATGATGAAAGATCAGCTGTTCATTCCTTTCAGATCAGCTGACATTGGCTGCATGTAAATCCAATCAGACTGGTTCATTCACCCATCGCACAGTGCCAATTTTTTTTTTTTTTTCACCTTTATTTAACCAGGTAAACCAGTTGAGAACAAGTTCTCATTTACAACTGCGACCTGGCCAAGATAAAGCATAGCAGTGCGATAAAAACAAACACAGAGTTACATATGGGGTAAAACAAAACAAAGTCAAAAATACAACAGAAATACATATAATATACAGTGTGCAAATTTAGCAAGTTATGGAGGTAGGCAATAAAATAGGCTATAGTGCAAAATAATTACAATTAGTATTAACACTGGAATGATAGATGTGCAAGAGATGATGTGCAAATAGAGATACTGGGGTACAAATGAGCAAAATAGATAACAATATAGGGATGAGGTAGTTGGGCGGGCTAATTTCAGATGGGCTGTGTACAGGTGCAGTGATCGGTAAGGTGCTCTGACAACTGATGCTTAAAGTTAGTGAGGGAGATAAGTGTCTCCAGCTTCAGAGATTTTTGCAATTTGTTCCAGTCATTGGCAGCAGAGAACTGGAAGGAATCCCCCATGCCAGTCCTCCTCTCTCATTAGCAGCCCTGTGCCACATTTTAGTCATTTAGCAGACGCTCTTATCCAGAGCGACTTACAGTTAGTGAGTGCATACATTTTTCATACTGGCCCCCTGTGGGAATTGAACCCACAACCCTGGCGTTGCAAGCACCATGCTCTACCAACTGAGCTACAGGAGGCCTCCTGGTTCACTGGTTCTGTATAGACTAGGCCTGCACAGAGTCAGCCTGGCACAGAGTCAGCCTGGCACAGAGTCAGCCTGGCACAGAGTCAGCCTGGCACAGAGTCAGCCTGGCACAGAGGTTACAGAGGGGAGATCAGGGCCTGGGTAGACTACAGAGGACAAAATAATATTTTGGTGAGGGCCGATTCTCAGAATGAATCACGCGCTGTCGGAGTTCTTCAATGTTATGGCAACCACGGTATGCAAAAAAGGTTTGGTTTATTCATTCCCATTGTTTCAGTTAAGTAACATCAGAAACTGGCTGTTATCTGGCTGTTCATTGTCTCTGGTCTCTTTCCATTGAATGGTTTTACTGAGTCACCATCCCCATTATGTTAGCCTGCTGTGATTCACCTCATTTAATTACCATACAGGTCTGATCTGACCGGGAAGGTCCGGGAAGGGACGCAAAGCTCTTCCCTTCTTGGTCTCATCCCTCGCTTGGGTCCAACAATGAGTCTGCTGTTCGCAGTGTGAGAACTGCCAGTCCCCCCCCCCCCCCCCCCTTCGGCAGACACCCTTTCGGCAGACATTTGTATGCAGTCCTTTAACCCCCTTGTTATGTGCTCTTGCTGTGAGACACTCTGGATAACGGCATTTGATAAAATGTTCATTGCAGTTCTTCGCAGCAAAGCCTGGCAATGGAGGTAGGTCGCCATAGAAACCTCACTGAGGCTAAACTAAGCCGTCTCCAGCACTCTGCACTCTCTCATTGATCACAATCATGAAAAGACCCTTGTGGTGCCAACCAGACACACAGGCATAGCTACTAGCTAGCCCCTAAACGAATTGGTCCGTGCTATTCGGGATCCTTGAAACACTACCCCATTGAATTTGAAATGTAAAATGGTTAAGGTTAGGTAAGGGCTAGGCTAATGGTAGGAGTTAAGGTTAGTTAGGGTAGGAACGTCGCAAGGATTCCAGATAGCACTGACCAAAACAAATTGGCCCAATTATATTGACCTAATATTTCAGTTTTATGCTCAATTTGCATTTTATCTAGAAAAAGTCACTGGAAAGTCAGCTATAAATGTACAAACCCATTCACTGTATGCCAGTCTTTCGATGCAACCTAGGTGTAAATGACTGACCAGTGTGAGGTGAAGGTATCAGCCATTCCACTTCAAACCAGACTGACCTTAGTCCCATCTGTTGTGCTGAGTTATCAGCAGCAGACTATGATCGATAATGTCAAAAGCCACACTGAAGTCTAACAAAACAGCTCCCACAATATTTTTATCATCAATTTCTCTCAGCCAATCATCACTCATACTTCAGGGATACCCTGGGCAAAGCAAAATTCAGTTGGTGGTACAGTATCCAAAAAAGGTTGGAAACCACTGCTTTAGGAGACTACTGCCTTTAACACAATGTTGTGGTTCAAGGTCAGTTTCTCCAAAAGAGTGAGCATTAGCTTCAGTGCAGTCCCTCATAAAGACCAGTATCCTTTGCATACTTGTGTGTTCGCTCCTCTCCTAAGGAAAGAATGGCACTTATCATAGATCACCATTGTCACCAGAGCGCACTATCATCATACAGCTCTACACTGTTTGTCCCAACTCATTCAGCGTGCAGGGTTGCGTAAGTGAGGCACTTTTCCAACGCTTCTGAGGAACAGAGTAGTAGGACCAATGAATGACCAATGCAGTGAAGTTATGTGTTATTGCAAATCTATCTCTCTGTCCAACAGCACACATTTAATATACCTCTTTGAGCTCCTTTTCAATCTGCACCGCGCGTTGTACGATTGGACCACGGACAGCATACTCAACCCGCTTTACATTCGGGTTCATTGTGTCCATGTTAAGCACCCTCTCCCGGTGCCCAAGTCCATTTTCAGTCATGTTCGGTTTCTGGAACTCACACTCTGTTCCGCCGATAACCCACGAAATATTCTGTGAAATTTGAGAGAACTCTGAGGAGAAAGAACGAAGAGTGGTTGGTTAGTTTGAAGTGAGAAACCACCAATGCACACCACACCCACACGAGGATGTACAGTACTTGCCAAAGCCAGTATTATTGTTACAACAGAGCGCGCGGTATCTGAACATTGTTGCACTGGAAGACACACTACATACATGTGTGCAAAGGGCCAGCGTTAAATCCTTTACCCTATTTGTCTTACTTTCTTTCAATTACATAAACTGGATTCAAAACAGTTTTGTTATCATGTCTTACCAGAAGCACCCAAAACGCGCGCCCAAACCGTCGTTAAGAGTGTCGTCAGTTCCAGGTCTTCAGCAGGCTGTGATTAGCTCAAACAACTGTTCGGCCACACAAAGATTATGGACGGCTACAATCAGTGACAAACTCCCCCTTCCCAACAGTCGTAGCCCAACCGGCCGGGAGATGGCGCTATTATTCATTTTACGTAGTTTTGCGGCCGGTTGGCCTACAACAGTCAATGCTTTTTAGAAGGAGGTTTTCACGCCTCCTTCAGACTTCTGATATTTAAACCCTAGTCCACACTACCAGACAGGAAGAGGCGAAGCCACCAGGACGGGCTCATTGTAATGGCTGGAATGGAGTAAATGGAGCGGAGTCAAACGTGGTTTCCATATGTTTGATACCCTTCTATTTATTCCATTCCAGCCATTCATCACTTTGGCTGGCTTCTGAGCATGAGGCCTGTGAGAGAAAAAAAATTGAACAATGGGCAATCTGGGATTGGTAGGCCTACATCCATTTCTGTACTTTTCAATGAATGATATAGCCATTGATTCTTATAGAATCTAACTTAAAAATGTCTCATGAGGTTAGTTCAACTGTCAATCAGAATACAAAATATAAACTTTTCTCCATTGTTTATAAACATGCCCTTTTAATTCTTCATCTGTTCTTTACTTGCATGTGAGATTAGGTTCTGGGTGCAGAGATTATGGACAGAGAAGTGTTCAAACTTAACCAGTTTTCATACTATTCAAATTCTAGAAATGGATTCACATTGACTGAGCCTATGAATGGGAGCCCAGGGGCTGTTGTTTTCTAAGAAGCTAGGCCGGGCTACTCTGACCAAATAGCTTGGGTGGATTTAAAGAACACTTGTGACACATTTTTTTTGTAAAATATAATTATAGATAATAACAAAACATTTAGGGAAGTAATTTTCAATTCTCAAAGGCTAAAAACATTATAATTTCATTGAAAGATTAATATTATTGCCACAGAGACTGAAGAAGGAAAATAATGTTGGCAGACATTCTATTTTTGCTCTTTACATTGCACAGCACCGAAAAGGGCTACAAATTCCTCCATGGCACAGGCACAGCACGCTGTGTCCTCTCAACTGGGCCTCCCCAGCCCTCCTCCTCCCACCCAGGGGTGTAGTGTTACTCTTACTGCCTGGCCAAACTTACACACAACACATGCTACACCCCCACCCCAGGGTCATGGCCCAGCTCCAGAGGTGGCCACCACGACAACACTCCCACCAGCCCCCCTGCATTTTACATTTACGTCATTTAGCAGACGCTCTTATCCAGAGCGACTTACAGTTAGTGAGTGCATACATTTTTTCTTTTTCATACTGGCCCCCCGTGGGAAACGATCCCACAACCCTGGCGTTGCAAGCGCCATGCTCTACCAACTGAGCTACATGGGGCACACATCAATATCAAACCATTCCCTTGAATGTCAACATCCTAACCTAAATGACTCCTCCTTGTCCTAAAATACCTCTTGTGAGAAACACTGAGGATTATGACAAGTTTGCAATTATTCAGGTCACACATGTCAGTAGTACAATGGTCCTCATCAAACCAGTTCGATTTAAACTGTCCTGAGAAAAATGTGACGTTGCATAGTTACTGCTCCTGGGTAACTGTGTGTATTTACATGCTACATAATTATTATATCGATTATTCCACTGGTACTCTGGTATAAATAAGGCAGATCCTTTATAACAATTATGTTTGCATAAGTTACAGGCCCAGTGGTGAGCTGAAATCAGACAACATTTTCAGCATGCCTAACAGTGCTCTGGTCCGACCAGGGAAATGACAGCACACTGCATAACCTCTGTAACCCTCCAGTCTAGTCCATGCCTTTCCTATGAGACCTTCACTCCTACAATTAAATCACAGTGAAACAACTCAACACTCACCAGAGAACTGTATCCTCTCTGTGATTGTAGCCACTAGCCAATGGTCAGTAGAAGCACAAGGGTTCTCTCTGTATATCCCAGTCAGTCAGTCAGTCAGTCAGTCTGTCTGTCTTTGGTTGTTCTCTCGCCACCTTACCCTGACAACCAGGACATAGGACAGACACGGTCTTAGTCTGTGATGTCACATCTTCTCCCCGCCCTCAAGTGACCGATTCTGGCCTATTCAAGAACAGCGTGTGTTAAAACTGAGGAGCGAAATAAGAACCACTCTGCCTGGCCTTTAGCCCGCATGACAGTGGATGAACTGGGCTGTATTCCAAAACCAGCAGCCACAGTTTGGACTGGTCTGCGCTCAGTTTTCACTGTCTTATTATATGCCCATTCACTGTGTCAACTGGTCTAGGATCAGCAAGCATTCTAGGAGGAGAGTGGCAGACGTGGAACATACAGTCCAAGGAGACGGAATGTATGTATGTGTGTGTCTCTGTGGGTGGAAAATACATTTGATCCCTCCTCACATGGTGGGCACGCAACCATGTAATTCTCCCAGGCCCAGTGACGTTCATGTACACACAGTGCACAGTTGGTCATACAACATACTGTTCTCAAACTATATCAGTAGGCCTACTACTACGACTCCTACTCTCCATATGGGCCATGTGGACTCCAATCAGCACGTATGCATCCCTCCAATATGTTGACTTGCATAGTTCAAATCTAAAGCTCAAAGGTCAGGGGTAAGCAACTAGATTCAGCCTCGGGACGATTTTTGCCGGACAGGATGGTCAGGGGGCCAGAGCATAATTATAATAATTTGTACACTGCAAATTGACCACAACTAAGCCCAAAAAGAGATTGTACTTGAAAATAACAATAATTTCATACCTTGATTACATTGAGACACCATCACGTCTCTTTTTATATTCATGGGAATACTTGGAACAGATTTCCTAAATGAAACACATTTTTTGTTGAATTCATGGTGAATATAATATTTGTATTTTTATCAAAATCAAAAATCCCCCCAAATGATATATATTTTTGGCTAAAAACTTTGGGAGACAAAAAAATGTTGGCCTGCGGGCTGCCTGATGCCGACCCCTGACCTAGGTTGTCATATGCCCATAGTATATTCTTTACTGGGTTTCCCTCACACAAGCTTGAGAGCAGTAGTAGAGTGGAGTCTTTATTATCCCCTGGGGGCACGTAGTAAAAACACATTGAACACAAGACAATAAATATACACAAAACAATATAGTATATACAGCAATACAGTGCCTTGCAAAAGTATTCAGACCCCTTGGACTTCCTTCACATTTTGTTGTGTTACAAAGTGGGATTAAAATTGATTTTATTTTTTATTTTTTTGTAAACAATCTACACAAAATACTCATGTCAAAGTGGATGATTTTTAAAATAAAAAATAAAAAAAGTTTAATAAAAATTAAATAATTGAAATATAATCTTTGCATAAGTATTCAGCTCCCTGAGTTAATACATGTTAGAAACACCTTTGGCATTGACTACAGCTGTGAGTCTTCTTGGGTAAGCCTATAAGAGCTTTGCACACCTGGAATGTGCAACATTTGCCCATTTATTATTTTCAAAATTCTTCAAGCTCTATTAAGATGTTGGGGATCATGGGCTAGACAGCAATTTTCAAGTCTTACCATAGATTTTCAAGCAGATTGAAGTCAAAACTTTAACTTGGCCACTCAGGAACATTCACTGTCTTCTTGGTAAGCAACTCCAGTGTAGATTTGGCCTTGTGGTGTAGGTTATTGTCCTGCTGAAAGGTGAATTCCTCTCCCAGTCTCTGGTGTAAAGCAGATTGAAGCAGGTTTTCCGCTTAGATTTTGCCTGTGCTTAGCTGTATCCCGTTCGTTTTTATCCTGAAAAACTCCCCAGTATTTGCCGATATCAAGAATACCCATACCATGATGCAGCCACCACCATGCTTGAAAATCAGGAGGCAGTTACTCAGTGATGTGTTGATGGAATAGCCCTAAACATAAGGCTTTGCATTTACATGTACATTTTAGTCATTTAGCAGACGCTCTTATCCAGAGCGACTCACAGTTAGTGAGTGCATACATTTTCATACTGGCCCCCCGTGGGAATCGAACCCACAACCCTGGCGTTGCAAACGCCATGCTCTACCAACTGAGCTACACGGGACAGTGTAGGCCAAAAATTGTATTCCTTTGCGGTGCTTTTTTTTGCAGTATTACTTTAGTGCCTTGTTGCATACAAGATTAATGTTTTGGAATATGTTTATTCTATATATTTGTATTCTTGTTTTCACTCTGTCATTTAGGTCATTATTGTGGAGTCACTACAATGTTGTTGATCCATCCTCAGTTTTCTACCATCACAGACAACTCTGTAGCCGTTTTAAAATCACCAATGGCCCCATGGTAACATCCCCATGGTAACATCCCCATGGTAACATCCCCATGGTAACATCCCTGAGCAGTTTCATTCCTGTCTTGCAGCTCAGTTCAGAAGGACGACTATCTTTGTGTCTGGGTGGTTTAATATATAATCCACAGCAGAATTATTAACTTGACCATGCTTAAAGAGATATTCAATGTCTGATTTGTTATTGTTAACCATCTACTACTGTTCTTCTTTATGAGGCCTTCGAAAAAGCTCCCTGGTCTTTGTAGTTGAACCTGTGCTTGAAATTCTATATGTGACTGAGGGACCTTACAGATGTTGTATGTATGGGGGACAGAGGAAGGTTTAGTCCTTCAAAAATCATGTCAAAAAAATAGTTTTTTGCATATCCCACTCCCTCTGAGACACCCTCAGAGAGTGGGGTCACGGCCAGGGATCAGCCATTATTTTCACCTAGTTAGCTCAGGGATTCAAACCAGCGACCTTTCGGTTACTGGCCCAACACTCTTAACCGCTAGGCTAACTTATTCCATGTAACTTATTATGTGATTTGTGAAGTAAAATGTTACTCCTGAACTAATTTACGCTTGCCTAAAAACAAAGGTGCTGAATACTTATGCAACAACTATATTTAAGTTATGCATTTTTATTTATCTTTACAAAATATAGAATCTTTCTTCCACTTTGACAGAGTATTTTGTGTAGATTGTTGACAAAAAATGACAATTCATCCCACTTTGTAA